GGTGGATGCACCTCTTATGTTCATGTTGAAATCGACCGCCTCCGTGGTCTAGTGGTAGAGCGTCCGCCTGGAGAGCGGAAGGTCCGGGGTTCAATCCCCGGCCGCGTCATACCAAAAGACGTTAAAAGATGGTACTTGTTGTAACCCTGTCTGGCGCTCGGCATTAAGAGGCTAAAACAAGGACTGGTCGGCTCGGAGTCAGTATACTGTGTCTGAGTGGGGTATTCATGTTAAACTGCGGCATGGTATCTCAGTGAGCTAGCACTATAAATCGGCATCAGTCCGGACTAGTACAAGCAGCCACACACACACACACACGTGCATGCACGTCGCTATATAAGTGCAATAATCGTGGACGCGACGTTAAACCCAATTTCACCTCACCTCACCTCATGTTGAAATCAAGGATTTGGAGGATGCGCACCTCTTCTGTTCCTGTTGAAATAAAGGATTTGGAGGATGCGCACCTCTTCTATTCATGTTGAAATAAAGGATTTGAAGGATGCGCACCTCATCTGTTCCTGTTGAAATAAAGGATTTGAAGGATGCGCGACTCTTCTATTCATGTTGAAATAAAGGATTTGGAGGATGCGCACCTCTTCTGTTTCTGTGATGGATGCGCGCCTCTTCTATTCACGTTGAAATAAGGATTTGAAAGATGCGCGCCTCTTCTATTCATGTTGAAATAAAGGATTTGGAGGATGCGTGCCTCTTCTGTTTCTGTGATGGATGCGCGCCTCTTCTATTCACGTTGAAATAAGGATTTGAAAGATGCGCGCCTCTTCTATTCATGTTGAAATAAAGGATTTGGAGGATGCGTGCCTCTTCTATTCATGTTGAAATAAAGGATTTGGAGGATGATCGCCTCTTCTATTCATGTTGAAATAAAGGATTTAGAGGTTGCGCGCCTCTTCTGTTTCTGTGATGGATGCGCGCCTCTTCTATTCATGTTGAAATAAAGGATTTGGAGGATGCATGCCCAACGCTTAGGATAAGCGTCTTTTGTACGGTAATGGAATGTATGGATGCACCCATGTGTCATAAACTTACCCCACCTTCACAATCTCATCAACATCGGATAGTTTACTCCGATACATGCATCCGTCAAGATCTACCAACCCACCCAGTAGATGTTGAATCGAAGAAGAAAAACTTATCTTAATTAGATTAATTAAACCACGAATGTATTAAACGTCCTTCAAACAAACAGCGTTTGTACAGCAGGTGTGCATCATCCGCCCCAAGTATCAGCATCATTCCAAACGAAGCTGACCTGGCCTGGGAGATATAGGGCTAATTCCATGTCATGGCCCGGGGGCCCGGGCGAGGCCGTAATGATGTGACAAACACCCCCGGGCCCGCTCCGCCCCGGGGCCAAGGGGATCACAGGGCCGTGTTGTATGCAGCGGCTGGTGGGAGACCTGCCTAGGCACTGCTACATGTTTAGTGCTTCTTTCCTTAATTAACTTATTTCGTAAATGACACCGCCAACGTGTGAATATCTATGTAATTGGCGACACTTTCATCGCGTGGTGAAACGGTCACATCACTAAAATGGTTACTATGACGGCGATCACGATAATGATGACGACGACGACGACGACGACGACGACGACGACGATGATGATGATGATGATGATACAACGAACTTTAAGTTACTTTGAGTGAGTGAGTTGAATCATGAAAATACAAGTTGGGGACAAGTGATACTTGTACAAATATCCAACTGGATAGGATTTAAAATGTGAATTTTTCCATCTGTGTAAATTCTTTATTTTCATTGTGCAACATTATAAACATCAGAATGCTCGTATGATTTCAAGTTCTTCGTCAAAGAATCCCTCAGAAACATTTTTTTTATTTAGATATGTCTTACATCTAACAATATGCCCAAGACACAGTTAAATGTGTTCAATCATACTGTATAATTCCGCATGTCCCGATGTGCTTTAAATTGCATCTGAAATATATATAATATATGGGGAAATATATGTGAACCATTTTGCCAAGTAGTACAATTTGTTCGAAATATTAGGGCTGCTTGCATTTTCGTATTTTAGTTATAGGACTTTTTTCTTTACACTTTTCCTTTTGAAATCTTTCAAGGATTATAATGTAGGATAGAATTACTGAGAGTTTGCGACTGTGGTGTCATACTGGATCTTTTTCTGAGTTTCTTTACCATTGGCCCCCGAACAACCTGTGCCCGTCCCCGTGAAGATTCGGGGTAGAATGGGTCTTCAGGAAACCCATGCTTGTCGTAAGAGGCGACTAACGGGATCGGGTTGTCAGGCTCACCGACTTGGTTGATACATGTCACCGTATCCCATTTGCGTAGATAGATGCTCATAATTTCAATCACTGGATTGTGTGGTCCAGACTCGGTTATTTACAGACCTACGTCATATAGCTGGAATATTGCTGAGTGCGACGTTAAACAACAAACAAAACAACCAAACTATGCTTGTGGTAAGAGACGACTAACAGGATCAGGTGGTCAGACTCGCTGACTTGGTTGATGTATGTCATCGTATCTCAATTGCGTGGATCGATGCTCATGATGTCAATCACTGGATTGTCTGGTCCAGACTCGATTATTACAGACCTCCGTCATATAGCTTGAATATTGCTGAGTGCGGCGTTAAACAAAAAACAATCAATATTTCATCCGGACACGTTATATCACCTCAGTAGAAAAAACTACACAAGAGTGTAAGATGTTGATATTGCTGCTGAACAGCTTCGAAGAAGTGCATCCATCTTTCAAGCGCTGTTCTGGAATATTGAGACTCGGATTGGACGCGACATGTGTCTTCCGATATTCCGAATTGCGCGTACCACCACTGCAAATTATCATGGTAATGTCGAAAGACTATCCAGTCACACAGTTTTGGAGGTAGAATCTCTTGGTTGATTTGAACATCTCGCTTAGAATGTACAAGTTTTACGCGTATGACGTTCTCCTATCTGAAACAGACGTCAGTTTAGAATCCCGGCGAATGGTTTGGAGCATTGTTCCCTGGATTGGAAACTAGCAGTGGATTTGAACAAACACACCTCGTTAGTTATAGTAACGTTTGTCCAGTTCGTTAAAGATAGGGTTTACAAACAATTTTAGCGAATATTAACATGTAGCTTTGACATTTCGTCGCATAGCATGAATACTCCACTCGTTACTCCGAGCCGACCAGTCCTTGTTTCGGCGTTAAATAACAAGCAACAACTTTTACCGAAGAAAACTTGAAGCGTAGATCTAGTCTAAGGGGCGTAACTCTTGATAAAACGTCACAGATGTCGAGGCGAATATTGGAATGCGATTTACGTCGCTGTTCAGTATTATTCCGGCCAGAAAGCCGTAAACCTCACGCAGCACGGATGAACGAATAACATTCTTTAAAACTAATTATAAGCCACATGCTTAATTTAGTTCCCTTTTATCTCACCAGGGTTGGAAATAAAATGAAGTTATTCTTGCGTCTGCAGCTGTAAAATACTCACCCGGAAGTAATCCATACAATAAACCCGAAACCACCACTCATGCTCAATCCACGGGGTGTGCATTAGCCTGAGCCATACTGAAAAATATATTCGATGCCGTTATATTCCGTATAGAACAATGACATGAAACTTGGTATGGTATGTTCCTAAGTATCAATAAATGTGTCACCAAAGTATGTTGAAATTGCTCTTAGTGAGTGAGTGAGTTGGGTTTAACGCCGCTTTTAACAGTATTCCAGTTACATCACGGCGTGTCAGCAATGTGGAAGGAAAGCCCGAAGTGGTACAGGTCTCAGACGTTTACCACTTCGGTGAAACCCACGAGCACGGGTATAGTGCTGAAAACCCTAGAAACATAATCGGGGCGAACCGGGATTCGAACCCACAATCATAGGTTTCTGGCGTGACCAAGAGACGCAACTCTGCAAGCGAACCGCGGCGCCTTAGACGACTGGGCCTCCCGTGCCCCCAAAATTGCACTGATCAATATATTACTCTGTTGAAAATGGTGAAAACTATTTATGAATCTGAAATAAAGTAGCGAACCGAAACTTTCAGTCAGGTGAGATAAAAATGAAAGTTTCGATTTTGTTAACTGGAAAAGTGTGACAGTTTTGAACAACAACATTATACTTTCTTGCAAATCAACAATTGTTTCAATTAAGTTGTTGATATCAGTCTTTTAGGAGCAAAATGATTATTTATTGTGTGATTGGTGATGAAATACTTTCTTCGTGAAAATATCAACTTTGTCAGATCCCTGACATGTTATTTGGCCAAATATTATGTACATATCGTCTATTTTTAATAAAGATATTAACATAGAAGCATGACTGGATCGGTTATCAGCTAACACATTGACAGAGAACCCTAATGATATGTATAACGAGGCGGTTCACGTTTGTTATATAATAGATCTATTATTTTAACTCAAAATAACTTAACACACATGTCCTTAATAAACCTTTTTGAAATATGTCGAAATATTCGGTCGTTCATTATCTTAGTTCAGCGCCTGGTGAAAATGATGCCATGGTCGATAAATATTGCCTTTCAGAAAACGAACAGCAGCCATGCAGCTTGCTTTTGATGTTGACAAATGTTGTAAGAGGTACTGATTTGTTCAAAGCAAAAACGACTGGACGTAATGAGCTTTTTTCTTTCTTTGTCGTATTAATTTGTAATATGTTCTAAATCTAAATCGTAAAGTCCCTTATTAAACACTAAAAATCCACTGTCCAACAACCCATGCAAGTCTATAATAGTTTAGCAAGTCTAGATCTTCTGCATAGGTCTGAACATAAAGAGATTCTCTGGACTCCTTTCCATTATATTGTCAGACATTTTTCCATTATATGTTATAAGACAATTCAACGAAATTAAAAAAATCTATTTTCATTTCAGAGTCTAAATATGCAAGCATATCTAAAGAAAATCCGTTTTAGTTTACGACATTGGCCGCTATGAGAATATTACGACATTACCACTTCCGGAAATGCGACTGCTTCACGATACAAACAGTTGTGAATAACAAAATGGTCTGCGAGAAATGTAAGCATTTAGTTTTTGAGAACTTTTGCGTATGTGTCAACACAACATTCATGTTCATATGGTTTGATTAATGGTAACATAAATAGGTAGCAAATAGACTGGAGTAGGCGTTGGAATATCCTGTGCATGTTGCGATCCAATGTCGTTTGTGAACAGTACTTCGCTCAACATCCTTCTGTAGACTAGTTCTCAGTGAATGGGCCTTCCGAGTGAATCTCACAACATGTAACTAACATTCTAGGTCTGTACTAACAGGCGAGGCCGCTCCTCTTCGACACTGCTGGCGAGTGTGTTCGTATGTGCGGAAAAGGCCCAGAATATTATCTGTATAGTCCGGTGTTCTTACTGGGTTGTCGTCAAAACGGCCTCAAAACACAAAAGTCAAAACGTCCACAAACCCATAGTCAAAACGGCCACAAAAAAGTCATAAGGGCTACAACAAAAAATAATAATAATGTGAGCAGGATGTGTACAGAGTATACATGTAAGATATTGTTGTTATTAATAACAAATGAATATCCAATATGAGTAGGGGTTGTTATATAGAGAATCTCACCCGAGTGTCTTTTGATATCAAATATATCAACACTCGTTGATATATTTGATATCAAAAGACACAAGGTTGAGATTATATTTATCATCCAACATCATTCTTCCAACTTTTTCCGTTTGTAGACAGTAATAAGCAGTGTCTTAGTGTAAAATGTACTGCTTACAGCTACAGTAGCAGATCCATTAGTGATGTAATTTGATTGTAACGTCATTGTAACCAATGACATCACAATGGTCTGCAAAGCATTGTGATGCAAATTCATTGCAGCGATATCTACAATGTAGATATCGCTTGATCTCACCCAAGGATATCTACTGTGGGAGCCAGTTTTGGATGATAAAACAATGTATTATCTTCCAGTAGGGTTCACATGTTTTAATGTGTGATATGTGATGTGTAGTTAGTGCTGAAGATCTGTGTGTATAAATTAATATGATCTGATCTGATCTATGAACTGTTTTACAATGAATAGAATACATTTAATGCATAGGGTCAGCTGCAGGTTTTGAGTCCCGACTTCGGGGGTTTCCGTAGTATATAAGCAGCACGCGTAAATACCCAATGACATTTTTTCAGCATGCGTACAACGGAGCTAATTTCTGAAACACAACTACGAGGTTTTCTTTCTGAGTTAAGCCTATGAGTAGAACAATTTTATCCTCCAAAATTATTTCATTTTTTTTTTAATTTTAAAATGTTTACTCATTTGGGGAAAACTCAACAGAGGGATGAATAGGTATGAGAAAATATATTGGTTACCCAATGAAAAATGTAATAACTCGATTCAAATAGAAACCGTCGAGTAAAAACTCAATTGCTCAAAAAGTTATTTGGAGCTCTGCTTATGTTGTATATATTAAATGTCTGACTGACTTCAGGCCAGAAGAAGCTGGGGAAGGTGATAACTCCTGATCCCTGGAAGAGTGGAGCGCGGAACACGACTGAAGGCGGGGGTCGCAAAGTAGGGGAGAACAAAGCTTTGACAGCAAAGAAAAACAGGTAAGTGTGTATGTATGTGTGAAGTGTGAACATCATGTTTGTTTGTTGATTAACGCCGCACTCAGCAATATTCCAGCTATATGATTTTAGTCTGTAAATAATCGAGTCTGGACCAGACCAGTGATTGATATCATGAGCATCGATCCATGCAAGGAAAACAAACCATTTGTTATACATGTGTCTATCTCCGGCAACAGAGTGAATAAAAAACAGAAACCATCTTCATGAGAAAGTTATTGAGTATGTTGATAGGGAATCTAAAATACTTGTAGAGGTGTGATAAGCTGATACACATGATATTATCTATCATGATAGTATCACTATTTATTATTTATAGTGTTATTCCACGGTTGAATAACCCTCTTCTATTCCCATGACACTGTCATCAAAGTCAAATGAAGTATTGGTTTAAGCAATAATATTTGTTTTGCTCATATCACATGCATTGATTTGTTCATAACATGAGTATATTTATTTTCCAATCATGAAAGCAAATAATATGATGTAAATAAGGCTAGATTGAGGAAGCGTAGTTTTCACTGTGTTGTGATTTATACCAATATTGGATGCAATTATGGTTATTGTTCAGAAAGCTGTTATGGATGCTTTGAACAACTTGCTCCCTTCTGTCCATCTTCTTGAGGCAAGGGAGTTAGCTGACTGTTAAAGTCCAGTTTCCACCCTTGCAGAACTAGGCTGGAATTTCTGGGCTCGATCATACCGCCATCACTGGCTATTATGAGTTATTTTCCTTATATGGCCCTCCTTTTGACCAATCAGATTCCACTTCTATTATCACTTGCATTTGCTTCAAACAAAATGACAGCACCCAGTCAAGACACTCTGATCGATAATCAAGATCTATGTTGTAATAAAATGGGTCTTCTTCCCGGAGTGCATCACATCACTAAGCACCTTGATTAAAAACATTAAATATTTGGAAAATATAAGTTGACGCCGAGTTGGCAGTACACATGCTTTGCAAATCCTGCAATCAACCCAAATCTGCATGGCAGTTGACGAACGGGATGTTGATTTTGTAACACAATTTTTATTAGACTAGTCTTAGACTCCTTAGTCCAGCCAAAATATGACTCCATAATTCCAGACTAGTTCAGCAAGGGTGGAAACTGGACCTTTACTGTCAGTTAACTCCCTTGCCTCAGGAAGATGCACTCTGTCTCATTCGTTATGTTCATAGCGTTTAAAAGGAGAGAAGATACTTTTACATACTGTCCAAGCAGCTGCTTGTATGTCTGTTTTCCTACCATGCTATATTTTCTGTTAGATTACCGGTAAGGTATTGGTGCAGTGTCTAGTATTTGCCTTACAACGACACTACAAATATTCAGTGATTTCCTTTGCTCTGTCTAGTTCCTAGTCCAGGGGACTTTCAGTCACTTTTGGGGTCTGAGTCTGCCAACATGTGAAACACTTTACTTGACTTCCTAGAAATGCAATCATAGAAATGTCACATGGGTAATCACCATTGGTCATGTCCAACTAGTCGTCAGCTCATTCCGGACGCAATGTAAAATAACTAGATATTGGAATATAACACCTAGTCAGACTAGATTGTTACTTGTCTTGGAGTAGTGGCCGTATCTATCCATGCTGTCTTATTGTTGCACATGCTTAGGCGCCTTAAGTCTTTTTTAGATGCGGATGTGGGGGCACGGATGGCACAGTCGTCTAAGGTGCCGCGATTCGCTGTGCACAGTTGCGTCACTTGGGCATGCCAGAAACCTATGGTTGTGGGTTCGAATCCCGGTTTGCCCCAATTATGTTTCTAGGTTTGTCACCACCATAGCTGTGCTCGTGGGTTTCACCGAAGTGGTAAATGTCTGAGACCTACATCACTTCGGGCTTTCCTCCCAGTACGCGTTATAACTGGAAAACTGTTAAAAGCAGCGTTAAACCCAACTCACTCACTCACTACATGAGGACGTAAAGAAGAATATCACCATTGACCCAGTGTTCGAAATAAAAACATGCCAGGCGGCCATCAGGACCCACAGACTTTAGAAGCTTCAGGCCCTGACTAAATCTTCAGGTCCTCATTAACAAACTGCAGCCTCTTGTAACAAATAAATCAACACGTAAATTTACTGCAGGACATAAGGACCCATACAGATTTGAAGCTAAGGGTCCGACTCGTACTCCACCTGCCTCGGGCCTATAAGCAGGCGCTTATTTTGAACACTAGACCACCTCTGTGGTCTAGTGGTAGAGCGTCCGCCCGGAGTTCGATCCCCGGCCACGTCATACCAAAAGACGTTTAAAGATGGTACTGGTTGTTACCCTGTCTGGCGCTCGGCAATAAGGGGCTAAAACAAGGACTGGTCGGCTCGGAGTCAGTATACTGTGTCCGAGTGGGGTATTCATGTTAAACTGCGGCATGGTATCTCAGTGGGCTAGCACTATAAATCGGCATCAGTCCGGACTAGTACAAGCAGCCACACACACACACACGTGCATGCACGTCGCTATATAAGTGCAATAATCTTGGACGCGACGTTAAACCCAATTTCACCTCACCTCACCTCTTTCGAACACTGCATTGACCCCCTGATACGGAATAGAACAGTCACTTACATGTAACATGCAATCTACAGTTTGGATACATTTTGTATTTAAACCCCGATACTTTTTTGCGACCCACAGAACAATGTGAATTAATTGTGTCAATCCTCGATTTGTACATGTTGTATGCTTGCATTACACAATTGTGTGCCCTGAATATTTATCTATGGTGATATGCTCATTAATAAGACATTCTTAATTTGTTTTGAAACAATTCTGAACTTGTCCAATAACATGTACAACAGTATTTTCATGCAATGCAAGTTATCCAGTTCACTAGTTTGAATCATGTGTGTTTTTGTAGACCCCGAGTAAGATGGGAGATTTGTGTTTCAGGTTCAACCCCTATTCTACAGGATTTGACAAGTGCCGCATCTGTAAATCCTTCGTCCACCAGCCTGGCTCTCACTACTGTCAAGGTGGGTTCTATGTTACACAGCCACGTGGACATTCCCAGACGGAACCCATGTTTGCCTACTTCTGGGTGTTCCAGGGCATAACTGGTCATAAGTAGCCCATGTATGTCTTCGTTTTGGAATTCTGGGCAGAATAGGTACCCAGTACTTCATGCTTGTCATCTTCCCGAGGCAAGGGAGTTAACTGATGATTAAAGTCCAGTTTCCACCCTTGCCGAACTAGGCTGGTATTATGGAGTTATATTTTGGCTGGACTAACGAGTCGATGCATAGCCATATGAAAATTGTGTAACGAAATCGATATCCAGTTCGTAAACTGACGTTCAGATTTCAGTCGATTGCAGGATTTGCCAAGCATGTGTACCACCAACTTGGCTTCAACAGATATTTTCCAAATCTATTCATGTTTTGAATCAAGGTGTTCATGTGATGTGATGCACTTCATGAAGTAAGGCTTGTTTTATCACAATATAGATCTTGATTATCGATCAGATCGTCTTCCCAGGACGCTGCCATTTTGTTTGAAGCAAGTGTAAGTGATATGAGAGGTGGAATCTGATTGGTCAGCAGGAGGGACATAGAAGGGACATAACTTGTAATAACCACTGGTGGCGCTACAGTTCAGCAAGGGTGGAAACTGGACTTTTCTGTCAGTTAACTCCCCTGACTCATGAAGATGTGTGCTTGTCACCTGGTGGAGATTCCGGGGCTGGACGGGTCCCAGTGCCCAATGGTTTGTCCCATGGGGTTTCTGGGGCAGAGTATGTTATCCAGTGCTTTTTACCATGTGGACATTTCAAGACAGAATACAAGTACTTGAAAAATACATTCTTAAAAGCATTGTGATTTATCAGCACCTCTGTAACCTTGTGGTACACTCACTGGGAGACAGATACGTGTTCGATCTGCGGGAATATAAAGAAAACATTTGTAATTTGATTTTACATTTCATTACTTTGTGTTCAAAAGCAAAATAAAAATCTAGCGAGAAGCATTTATTCGTTACATTATAAACGTAATTTGTATTAATAAGATCCCTGTTAATGAGATTTAACCCGACTGGAGAACAATAGGATGACATCACTGGAGGTGTATAATGGCAGCTTTGAAAGAGCCAGATTCTCTCACGACACGACCGCCTCCGTGGTCTTGAGGTAGAGCTTCCGCCTGGAGAGCGGAAGGTCCGGGGTTCGATCCCATACCAAATGACGTTAAAAGATGGTACTTGTTGTTACCCTGTCTGGCGCTCGGCATTAAGGGGCTAAATCTCAGTAAGCTATCACTATAAATCTTGATCAGTCCGGACTAGTACAAGCAGCCCCCCCCCACACACACACACACACACACGCTATATAAGTGCAATAATTCTGGACGCGAAGTTAAACCCAATTTCACCTCCCCTCTCACAACACATCCTGTGCTTACATCATGTTCTGACTGACGGTGCTTGTGATTCCATATTGAATATTGAGGGTTTCACCTGTGAGGTGAGCTATGGAGAATTCCAGATGATCTGTCCTGAGTCAATTATTATATCTGTCCCGAGCCTTGGCGATGATTACTGAAAATCATTGCACCAGTATTCTTCCTGTGGGTAATATTGATGTCAAATACTTATCAAGAAATGTTTTTGGTATTTTTCAACTCGGTTACTTCCTCTGCTTGTTTTGGTTTGAGGCATCTTCCCGAGGCAAGCGTGTCCACCAGCCTATACCAAAGTCTAGTTTCTACCCATGCCACATCAAGGACACTTTTCTTGGCTTGACCCTGGTGCCACCTCTTGTAATAAAAACACGATATCCAATCAGATCACTTTTCTTATGTCGTACAGCTTCCAAAAAATGGCGACTACCATAGGCATGATAGGGGACGACCTCATTGATCAGATAACAAAAACTTTTGCGATTTCATCCCATAGGCAGTCGTTGGGAGGATTAAATGATGAAATTGACATTCGTCAACAAAGACAGGCAGTGGTAAGTCACTGTCATAAGAAGGTGTTCCAGTCGTGGATGTTGATTTTGTGAAACATTCTCTGATTGGACTATCGATGTGTGCGAACGTCCAATCATATTCAGCAAAGGAAAGGGGGCTTGATGGGGCAAGGGTGGAAACAAGACTTTGATAACAAGGCTAGTGGATGCTCTTGCCTCGGGAAGATGGGTTGGAGGTGGCTTAGATACAAATTATAAACATAGTGAACATGGTTAATAAAATATTAGAATTCACTAAACTGTTTCTACTCTAACATACACTGATATATATGTGTCTCAAGCGCAGAGAGCATTGATACTGTAAACCAGTAATGAAAGCACTACAGTTACCATGGTTACCTTCTCTTTTGCAGGCTGTGCCTATAAGAAGGGAATCTGCGCCATGTGTGGCAAGAAGATCATAGACACATCCAACTACCGACAGACTTCAGTTTGAGGAAGACTATGGCGTCAGGACAACAAATTTTGTTTGGGAAGACATTTGAAAACAAAAAAAGAGACCTATTTGTTTGTTTTCTATATCAGATGGGATCAGAGACGTAGGCGTATCAATCATTAATGGAGTCTGCAATTTGGACGCAGGCATGTGCAGCATCCCTAAGTGGATTGTGGAAGGCAGCTATTGGCTGCCAGAATGAGGATTGGGTGGTCACAATGGCTGCTGATTATGACTCGTACTCAGGGTGGAGCCACGATCTTGCACTGATGTTTGTCTGAGGCATCTCATCACCTGTCGGCCATATCATCCTTGCTGGAATGTATCTGTATGTTCCTGTAGAATCTATGTTATTCATTCAGTCGATATTCATGAGCATATCTTTGGCGAAGTGTTGGCTTGTCACGCCCAGAGTCCACTCCCTACATGGATAAAATGTTTGAAGCATTTTATGGCTGACAACCCAACTCACTCACTCACTCACTCTCGCACACATTCACTCACATCTTTATTACAAATATTGTATCCGTTTTTTTCTTTTTATTTATTTGTATAATATTCTTGGTATAAGATTATGAAAATTATTGCCAAAGAAAAAGGCAGATACAGTGATCCCTCGCTACAGTGCTACCTTTGGTTGGTTGGTTGATTGATGAGCGTTATAGACGATCAGCGGTTTATTCGAGGTGGAGTCGTAGGTGGTAGATGACCAACACAACAGTACATGCTCTGCCTACCTAACACAATCTACGCTGCACGTTTCAGAGTTTAAAAAAAGATTAGAATAGTTTATGATTCATAGTGTAAAAAACGATTTATCGAGTGTTGTGCGCTTTAAAAAAAAAACACAACGTATCCCTTCAGCGAATTCTGGTGAACAAACAAACAAACTTGGTCAATAAAAATATGAAATTTGATATAAAACATCACTAGACATGATAATTTACCTTTTGAATTGTATTTCCTGCACTCCGAGGCATTGTTTTATATGCAGAGATTAAGATTACCGTGTGTATTTCCTCGTCAACTGAGCCGGAAATAGCAATCAGCTATGCACAGGTTTCCTCCCGTATCTACCGGTGATTCAGTTCAAAGGTACCCAGTGATACAACTTCAAAGAATTTTGATGCAATGGTCGGAAGAAATTGTATCTGTAATTATTATTTTATCAGGAATAACATATTCCAATATCGCGCAATAGCGAGGGAACACTGAAGTGTTATTTTCCTTGTAACACGGTAGATGTTTTGCATATTACAAATGTTATGCAATAACTAATCCATTTGGTAGATGAAGAATCCCTGTAGCTTCTCTTTGGAATGTGCTTAGAACAAGGACTGGGGGCTAGAGAGGGTCCATAAGGAATGCTGAGATTTTCAGTATTCTGTGTCTACCCTGGTACTATCTGGGTCTATTTGTTTGAATCAGAAGTCCTAGTGGAAGAGAGCTTAAAGATTTCCATCTGCATCAGAAATCTACATAACTTGATCCCTCTCTGACTGTATTAGCTAGAAATTAGTATTTAAATATGATAGGGTTTCATTATCAAGCCCAGAAACCTGATTGTGGGTTCGAATCCTAGTTCGCCCTGATTATGTTTCTAGGTTTGTCAGCACCATACCTGTGCTCATGGGTTTCACCTAAGTGGTAAACATCTGAGACCTGCATCACTTTGGGCTTTCCTCCCACATTAAGCTGACACGCCGTGATATAACTGGAATACTGATAAAAGCGGCGTTAAACCCAACTCATTCACTCACTCACTCATTATCAAGCACTCATCATATTATTAATTGGTCTGTTCCAGCTGAGAATTGAGTATACAGTCAAGTCCCGTTAATCCGACATGGCTGGTTGTATATGACTCTGTTGGATTAACGAGTATCTCAGATAAACAAAATTAAGTAGTACCAACGTTCCTCGGTCATAGTTCGCGAATGCTTCTTCTGACGTGACCTGTAATGGGATGTCCTCGGCGATAGCGAGAACTTGTAACTGATTTTAATGAGATTGTGGTAATCTAAGCATGTGATTAATACTGTTTTCTTTTTTAAAGCATTAATTGTTTATTGTTAAGCAAAGTCTATCTCTGCAGCTTTGTAATATGCAGATACCAGCCGACTCGTCTCGCATTAAAACACAGGCTTTGTACTCGCGGGCAGATAACCACGGAGTACGCTGATCACTGTGTCGGATTAACGAGACTGATTAATGTGTGATTTCGGTAATTCGTTGCAAATTAGGTGTGTCGGAGTCAGAGTGCGAAACTGTCGGATTAACAGGTCTAAATAGCACTGATTTAAACGGTTCCCATCATTTGTGTCGGATTAACGAGTTTTGGATTAACGAGACTTGACTGTAGTTGTATTGATTTATGTGAAGTGTTTTCTCCAGGAAAAACATGTTGAAATACCTTTTTAAGGCATTTGAAATGTCAATAATCTCACCCCCATCTGTTGTCCATCTTACTGTATGTGTGTGTGATCATGTGTAGATTTAACATGTTTTTTGAATGGTTGAATATTTGAGAAAAACAAATTGTTTGTAAATAACTTTTTTCTCCTCAATAATTCTTGGTAACAATTGATAACAGAGCATGTGATCAGTCATTATTCAATCAACAGAACATCTTGTCTATAAATTGTACAGATCACCTTGCACCTTGTTTTTCCAGTGTATCATATCTCCATTCTCTTATGATAAATACCTTGACCCGTTAGCCACCATAGCATCATTTGGAGTCAAGTTTGAGTGACATGATGCCAATAATAACCTCATGATCAAATTTGACCTGTGAAGATCAGAGGTAGAATAGATCTTCAGCAACCCATGCTTGCCATAAATGGCCACTATACTAACAGGATCGTGTGGTCAGGCTTGCTGACTTGGTTGATGCATGTCATCGTATCCCAATTGTGTGGATCGATGCTCATGATATCAATCACTGGATTATCTGGTCCAGACTCGATTATTTACAGACTGCTGTCATATAGCTGGAATATTTTGCTGAGTACGGGGTTAAACAACAAACAAACAAACAAACACAATCAAATTTCCCTGTTCTTTCATGACTAAAATAAGTGGAAATATCACTAGTACTCAACTCGTGTGTTGCAAACTGTCTCCCAATAAAACGAAGAAAGTCTGATCTTAGAAACCCTTTTCCAGCACTACAAGATGGTTTATGACAGTCATCTGCATCAAGGGCATACTTGTCCAAGGACAGAGTTTTCTTATCAGATGTATGTGGTACTCTTGTTAAGAACCATTTTGACTGGTTGTTGCCATCTTCCTGAGGCAAGGGAGTTAACTAACTATGAAAGTCCTGTTTCCACCCTTGCTGAACTAGGCTGGAATTATGGAGTTATATTTTGGCTGGACTAACGAGTCTATGCAGTCCAATCAAAAGTGTAACAAAATCGACATCCAGTTTGTAAACTGCCGTGCAGATTTCGGTCGATTGCAGGATTTGCAAAGCATGTGTACTGCCAACTCGGCGTCAACAGATATTTCCAAATCTTTTCATGTTTATAATCAAAGTGCTTACTTGATTTAATGAACCCTCACGAGGTAAGACCCATTTGATTACAATATAGATCTTGATTATCGATCAGATTGTCTTGACAGAGCACCGCCATTTTGTTTGAAGCAACTGCATTTGGAATGAGAGGTACCTGATTGGTCAATAGGAGGGACATTGAAGGGACATAACTCGTAATACCCACTGGTGGCGCTATGATTGAGCCCAGAAATTCCAGCCTAGTTTGTCAAGGGCGGAAACTGGACTTTCATAGTCAATTAACTCCCTTGCCTCGAGAAGATGGCCGACTAATGGGAGGCCTAATTATGACTTGAATGATATCTGATAGAACTCCTACTCCACTTTAAACATTTGGAAGGTATTCTGGTAGTAACACTATATTAGACACTTTGAACACCACACACAATTGTAGATTTCAAGCTCATGAGGGCGGTCCGGTAGCCTAGTGGTTAAAGCGTTTGTTCATCACGCCGAAGAACCGGGTTCGATTCCCGACATGGGTACAATGTGTGAAGCCCATTTCTGGTGTCCCCCGCCGTGATATTGCTGGAATATTGCTAAGAGTGGTGTAAAACCATACTCACTCACTCACTCAAGCTCATGAGTATCAATTCTGAAGTTGGTGATTAAAGAGAGGCGGGTGGCGACGTCACCTCCGAAACAAAACATTGGTGGTCAATAAGTCCAAGGTATATGTCGTAATAAACTGGAGATACTGGCCAACCTTGTGAATACTTTGGAAATTTGGACTCCCAAATGAGTCCGAGACAATCAGGAATTCAGACATCCAAGTTCGACCCAAGGTTTGACTCTATAATACACTGGTACATCGGGGATTCATCACAATGACATCTGTGTGAATAACTCTCTTTGTATGATCAACAGCAGCATTAGTGAGGAAGTTTATATTATGTCCAATCTGTAAGATTAAGATTATTTTTGGAGCTTTTGAAAAGATATTTTTTCAGTGGTCACCATTGTAACTACCATATAATTGTGAACATTCGTTATTTGTCCATACACTGTTGATGGAGAAATCAGGTCCTGACTTGTTACCATGCCGTGGTGGTACCACTGGTCCATGATCTAAAAGGCGAAACAATATGTTTGTACCAGGGTACGATTGTTATCACAAAATAAATTTGACTGAATTTGTCAGAAAAATATGTCTATGTCAGTATTTATTTCAATTATTCGGCCTAGTGTATTTCTATAATAAATCACACTAATGTAGCATTTCATAAAACCAGTCCTTTTAACATGCTGACCCTACTCTTAAATAATATTTCATGTACAAAACATGAAAAATTCAACTTTTACCGTAAAGTTATTCAAATTTCATTAATATATAGATTATCAGGTTTTTTGACTCGGAATCTTAATCAGTCTTAGCGTTCACATGGGATGAGGACACACATGCACTGTTTGGAAGTACCAGTGAATAGTATTGCTTATACATGTACATCGAAAACATTATTTCATTTTTTTTCAAATCTCAAAATGCTTACTCATTTTGGGGAAAACCCAACCAAGTGATGATTAGATGAGTGAAAAAATATTGGTTACTCAATAAGAAAATTTAATAACCCAATTAAAATAGAAACCTTCGAGTAAAAACACAATTGCTCAAAAAGTTATCTGGAGCTCTGCACTTATCTCAGGCAGGCAGGAAAATATGGAGTTCTTTATTCATTGGCATGATTGTCAGGCTCTGCGTTTATAAAAGAAATTCTAATTCTAAAAGTGTATATTTTATTGCTTATATATATTTTAGTCAGCTGAACCATAAACCAAATAATAAAAAATAAGGTTATTCATTATTCAGACTTGTAGATTTGTTGAACCCTCTTCCAGATTACGATTAAATTACATGACAAAATAATATGTTATACATGATATATCAATATAAATACGTGAGCTACTACGAAACATGGTATATGTGGTAAATATCAGTTTGATTTACACTGATAACCAGTACAAATATGTTTATGATGCTTGTTATATCATGGACTGAAGGGTCACAATCTATTTGTCTATTTACCCCTATTAATTAATGCATGTATGTTTCTAGTTACTATGGTGTTGATATATATATTTTCCATATTGTATTTGAAGAAAAATATGCATGTACTATTTTCTGAGGAACTGGTCATTTTCATATTATCATGTTTTATTTAAATAAATTGTGTTTCTATCTTATCCTGTGTCAATGTTTTTTATGCATATGGGAAAACTTTACAGAATGACCTACAGCAAAACCGCCTGAGAAAGGTTTCTTATGCAATTTAGGGTGGCCGGATACCCCAGTGGTTAAAGTGTCCGCTCGTCACGCCAAAGACCCAGGTTCGATTCCCGACATTGGTACAATGTGTGAAGCCCATTTCAGGTGTCCCGCGACGTGATATTGCTGGAATATTGCTAAAAGCGGCGTTAAACCATACTCACTCACTCACTCACTCACTTTTATGCAATTTAAGATATACTAAAAAAAATTTTCCCACAGTCTCTGAGTTTTTGCTAGCTTGAACATTATTAGTGGCACCTCATGTAAGATTATATTATATATTAGTTCCCCAAAATAATGCAGAGAGCAATGATAAATGGTCCCTGCATAAAATCACCGAAGACAAACAAACGGAGTCATTCCGATATTACTGGTGGTCTAAGGGGGGTAACTCTGTATCATGAAGAGTTACCCACCCCTTTTACGACTAGATGGCAGCACCACGCACTTGCTCATTGGTACGATGTGATTGGCTCGCCTTTGAACGGAAGCCCGCCAAGTTGGATTACAGAAGAAGATAGAAGATCAACAAGGGAAACATAAATATATTCAGTATGGCACCTAAACGCGGCCAAAGAAGAGTTCGATCCGGTGACACAGTAATGTTATCAGGTGCATAATTATGTGACGATGTTTTCACAAGATATGCGTACGAAAATACTGCATATTATTCTTGCACATTTTGACGGATTCACTCGTGTAGTCCGTCGACGGTCTGTTTTGGTTTTCAAATACGACTTTAGTGCATAGATAGATGAATGTTGATGTGGCATGAATGATACAAGTCATGCGATGTCAAACGCGTAGATTCTACAGCATGCATCCTAGCCTAGAGCCGCGTTTGGGTGGGACAGTCAAGACGGATGCGTAGGATCATGTATTGACTGTCGCGTTTATACAAATCGGGGCAATATGCATCCCTGTATGCATGTTACTGAAAAAGGGATAGAAGGGTCTACGTGTGCCGAAAACTGTGTCAAATCACCATGTCACTGATGCAGGCGAAATCAATTTATAGCCTTCGAACAGTAAATATATATACCGCGAATATCTAGTTGAAATACAGGAAATTGCACAAAGTCCTACCCTGCACAGCTGCCATGCTTGAAATAAAAATGACTTTTTTATCATCCTTCAATCACATAACTGCATTAAAATGACACTGCTATTTTAAGTGTGACAATACTATTCAATGCATAACTTGTTTGAGGCATTAATGAGAAATAGAAGGATGACAAAGTAGACCAAAAAATATATGAATAACATCATCTTTATTATGCTGTAATAGTGACGTTTTTGGTATAGATATGTATACCGCAGTCGAGCAGGACTGAATAATGGACATGGTACAGAATTATTAGTTCCTACGTAATCACCAGATGCCATTAAGCATCGATGACCCAACAAACTGGGTTTCAGAGCAGCAATCGAGGGAGGACCTCGTTGACAGCGATAGGGAATCCCCTTGAATCATATTGCATTTGATTGAATGATGCTTGCTAAAACCTTAACCTTGTTGATTTGTCTGCATGCATGAATCTGTATGTACATTTATATGGTTTAGTATACAACAGATATGTGTACATATAATTTTTGCAACAATGAAGTTTAGTTCAAATTTATAGGATTAATTGCATATTTAATGCATCAATTACTACTCCGTTCTTTTCATTCATGTTTAATGGCATAAACTGTACACTTTTATTTGTCATGATTCACTTGATTCTTAGTTAATGACTTTATTTTTATAGGTATAATTAGTGCCAAAAGTGGCATAAAACCACACTCACTCTCGCTGAGATTACCTGATAAAGACTATGCAAAGTATCTCAATAACATTCACCCCCGCTTCTGAGGGAGTCACATATATATAGCAATCAGTGGTTAGTATTTGGCATTTCTTGTGTCTTGGGAATATTTGTTTAATCTAAGGTTGGGTTATACATCCAGGTCTGATGTGGCGAATGTATTACAAATGGTGTCTGATTTGTGTTCCTGTAATTTGTGGAGAACCCATGTTAGATTATAACTGAACTACTACTAGTTTGTTCTAAGACAATTTGTGAATAGATACAAATAAAGTAGTGGTGGGACGAGACACCGATGCATTGGTGGATCGAGATACTTTATTTCCTGATTAAATGTTTACTTTAGTGGCTGTTACACCAAACACTAATGAGTAGTGAAAAGTAAATATTTTGATACATGGCGCCATACTTGACACTGCCAACTGTAAATCGTCAGTGTGCCAGTTACTTGACTATCCTGACCATGAAAAATATTGCTTAGGGACCACAGATAAGAGCACATAGATGTATAGTGTTACGTATCGAATCGTGAACAAGGTATCGTTATACGTATCAGATCGCACAGATGGTGTACCGTCCCAGCACTATAATTAAGTGTCGTGTGCAGAAACACATACTAAATAATTTGGATTATTATGATGGGTTTCTAATTCTGTTTTTTTTTATGGTTTGCAGAAAGTTCTAGTGGAAGTGATTCCGAGAAAAAACAGAAGTGTACAGCGAACAACAGCAGCAGGAGGAGGAGATCAGGACGACTGAAGGTTGGTGAAAGGCAGTTTCCCTTTTTTTGGTTAGGGAACCAAGAGACTCCAAACATGTGTTTTAGAAGCAAAACCTGAATTTAGGAGCGGCAGGCAATATATGTTTTGAACGGATATTGTTATCAGTTATGGTGAATTCAGGGTAGGCAAGTGGCGAGCAGTAGATAAATTTAGGTCGCCAATCATAGACTTAACTCGCATTTGGCCACCAAAATGGTGGCTACTTGGAGGGCTAACAGGCCCTGTCAAGCAGGGATTTATCTACATCTGCAACCAGGCCAATATTCAGCCCAAAGTCTGCAGCATGTGTCAATAAAACTTCCAAATTGGAATTAAACATTTGCCAGTTCATGGTGTTACATGTAGAAACTATTGTTATGACTTTGTGGGGTTAACTTGGATATCACTGATAATCAATGTAGAGGAAGAGGGGTTAATGCTCAGTTTAACATTATTTCAGTGAATACAGTGTTGAAATCCTATGGTAGAATACCTCTGAAGTTAGGAAAACAATAACTTTATAAACAAAAGAATTTAACTTTTCTCACATTAGCTGTAAAGGGCACTGTGGTCCATATGTTCATATGTCTGTGTCCTGATGATAAGAAGTATGTTCCTTGCTGGAGGTGCTAGAGGATTGAAGATGAAGACAACTGGATTATTGCTATTAGCATGATTAGAGGGGTATACCGAAGAAAATAAATTGACTAGCCAACATGCCTAGCTGATGTTGAAAGTAATTACCTGGCTTAGTTTGATATGAGATGATCACCTTAAAATAATAGAATTATGTAATTTAAGCTAGCTGTTAACAATGATTAAGACATATTGAAATGAAATTTGGCAGGAGGCCACATTGAAATTTTGATTTCTCACAATTTACAGTTTATGACCCTTGTTTTTCTTAAATTTAGATTTGATAATATTTCATGTTAGCCGAAGTTTTGTTGTTTTTTTTACATTAACTCACTCACCTTGTTTGATAAAAACTTCGCTAGCTAATAGCCCACAATGTCAGGCAGGGATGGCAGAGGATTCCCGTATTGTCAGCGAGGTCATGTACATTATCTTTGTCTGAAAACTTACAATAATTTTGTGTTGCTTCTTCTTTCAGAAAAAAGACTCTGATTCTTGCACTTCGGTGAGTATAAAATGAGACAGTATTAATTGTTGTAAGAGTTGTATAATGCCAAGACTTCAAAGATATTGTAGACTTAATGCATGACATACCATGGTTAGAAATTGTGTTGAACTAAGAAGCGCCATAATGAAGGTGTTCGAAGGCATGATACTAGACGCCACCCCGTGTATTCCACAGACACCTTCATTATTGATAGGTATTTTTATATAGGCACCGATTACCAAATATTTGGACATTTTGCAAATGTGTCCATATAAGGGACATAAATGGGTTAGTTTCTTCTTCAGCAAACCTCTTTTATTTGAAAGATTGCTTATACATGGTGTATTTAAGGAACTCCTGTCATAGACAGCACCCCTTGTGTAATCCAAGGATCACTAGGTCTCCTCTTTGTCTTAAGCTTGACCTCAGTCTGCAGAAGAATATCCAGGTTGATTGTTTGTTGTTTAACGCTGCTGTCCGCTATATGACGGCAGTCTGGATTGTCTAGTTCAGACTCAATTATTTACAGTGATTGACAGCATGAGCATCTATCCACGCAATTGGGATACGATGACATGCATCAACCAAGTCAGCAAGCCTGACCACCCGATCCCGTTAGTCGCCTCTTACGACAAGCATAGTCGCCTTTTACGGCAAGCATAGGTTGCTATTCTACCCCAGATCTTCACGGGTCAGAATATTAAGTGGTCAGGCTACGTGACTTGGCTGATGGCATGTCCTAGTGCCCCACTGACATGGTCGTTCATGATGCTTTCAGTAACTAGTTTTAGTCCAGGATTGATACAGCCTGCTTTGATACGTCTGGAATATACGGACAGCGTCAATTTCAATGAGTTCATGCATGGTGATATGTCTTACGATCATTCGTCTTCAAGGGAGTCTTCTTTCTTCAGATTGATTCCGCCTATGACGGCGATGGGGAGACGACAAACAGCACCCTGGAGTCCAATTCGTCCAGCGGCTCCGACCAGACTATGTCCTCCCCCAGCAGTGACATGTACGACTTTGACGAAGACGACAACCCACCAAGCCGAGGCATCCTCTCACCCAAACAACCAAAGGTCAAGAAAAAAACATCTAAACGAAAACAAACCTCCAACAAAAAGTCGAGCTCCACTAAACCCAGTAAACCGAGGAAGCAATCCCCTAAAATGGAAACTGTTTCAGTGACTCCTGTCGTAAGTAAAGGAACGTCAGATGTCGAGAATAAGCCAGTCAGGCGCCCCAAGGGCATGAAGACGCCAGGAGTGTCGCCCATACTATCGGCAAGTCGCCTTGATTCTAGTGTGAACAGTTCGGTAGAAAACAAAGGCAAAAGGAAGATACCAGGTTCAACGCCAAATGTCACGCCACAGATAGGCTCAAAGAGCAAGAATCCCAGAATTGATTCTATAAAGAATGACAGTGGTTGTTTTATTTCCCCACCACCCTTGAAAGTCCCCCGACTCCTAGCCAAAGACACTTCAACACCCAGTAACACGAAGGACGATATTCGGGTTGGTGTCAAGGATAAGTGTTTTGGTTTTGACTCCCTCGGTTCACCGGCGCATGGGATCTCGACGTCAGACTATGGGTCGGCGGTGATGGATTTGTCCCAGATCTCTATGGACGACACGGCTCCTAGTGTGGAGAAAGACTTTGAGGTGACAATGTTCTCGGAGCCGGAGATGGAGCCAGAGCCAGGTAAGACTTGATCTAGCTATAAATAAACTCAAAATAAAACATGAACCATAGAAACTTACAGAGAAGAATGTACGTTAAGAAAAGATGTTGCCACTGTGTACCACTTAATGACAAAACTACCAACTCAGTCAACTGTTACCACAGAGTGTCTATATTGTTATATTCACGATACGCTGCTTGTGATTTCGAAAACTACACGCTAATCCTGCACGAGACAAATGGTGCATCTCTTGTCATTGATCTATGACGTCACATGTGATGGTTCCATGAGAGTCGGTTCAGACAACATACAAGTATGTTTGTTTGTGTGTCGAACTAATCAAATATCTCTTGAATATGAGTAATTCTTCAAATATTCACCACCATATATGTTAGTGTTTCTTTTGGCGGTGTGAGAATACAATGTTATCTAGTGACCATAGACAATCCCAGGCACTCCACTTTGTCTCTCTTCTCCTGTCGCCATGTATTGTGTCACCATGACTACAAGCTATTATAATTATCTTCCTGTCGGGTGAAAGTAATGGTATTGATAATATTTTTAGATTTTGTTCATCATTAGGTATGACAAGTATACGTTTTTGTATTTTCTTGGTCAAGAGGTAAAACATGGTTATCAGAGTTGGTATGAGGATAATTTACTGTTAAAAAATTTGAATAAATTGTTTAACAAAAATTCAATTAAAAAGCTATTTTCAGTTGAACACAATACACAGATTTATCTAGGGATCTAAACTAAGTACCTTTGGCAGGCAAATTGGGGGTGGAAATCATATCGTTCAAAATTTGATTTGTTTAATGTTTTTATTTTTGTAAATAATGAGGAATTGTGAGTTTTTAAATTCCAATTCGTAATTGCACTGTCATTTGCTGTAGACTTGGGGCCGATTATCGGCTACTGTTTAGGTCTAGATTAATCCATGCAGTATGGAGGGGTTAGAATCTTCAGCGGATCTGCAAATTTTAGTGACCCCAAATTTGTTAAAACCTGATTGCTTCTCCCCCTGAACACGCCAAAATTATGGAACACGCTCCATTGCAAAGATGTTTCAGCTGAAAAGGAAAACATACATTCTCATCCTGGAATATGAACATGGTCTAAGATTTACATTCCGTTCATGCCACCATGATATGGCTGTTGTAGAACAGTGATGGCTGCACAAAACAACACTGGGTCTTCAGTCATAGGTGCAACTTATCCTGCAACTTTTCCAACCCAAATAGTGATAATGTGTACACAAAGGTTGAGGTGCGTGGTATTACCGGTACACCATGATTTGAAATACAATCATGACAATAGAACACGTATGTCGGTGTGTTTGGAAAATACTTGTATATTGCGTTTTTGAAACTTTTACAGATTTTCATATTGTTTGCAAAGTTGACATAAGTGACATGTCAAATTAAAATTATGAAATTCAAAGCTATTCGCGACCTCAAATATATGATGTTGTAATACACTAGCCTGATGACCATCATTACCATAGCAACATCCAACAAAATGTCGGACATCTACAAAGTTGTCAAAGATGTGCAGAGGAAGTCAAATGTATGGGGCCATTTTTATTCAGATGAATAGAAATTACAGATGGAAGAAGGCATGCACTTTATTGTGGCACCTATAGCAATACATTAACCATTATTGCAATAAATTGTAATGTGGTAGTCTGGTCAATACTCATCTCTACTTGCTTACAGGGACTGCCTTGAAAAGGCTACACTTCTAGACACGACGATAGTGTGTCTGTGCCAAGTTAGTTCCAACTCAGGCGTCGAAAAATGATACCCTGTCTATGCTGGACAAAAAAGTTTAGGGATCATCAATATTTTGGGGGATATTTTTTGGTAGTGAAGACTTTCATTCTTATTTTCTCCTGACGTGGGTACAATGTGTGAAGCCCATTTCTGGTGTCATCTGCCGTGATATTGCTAGAATATTGCTAAAAGTGGCGTAAAAATCAAATTCACTCACTCATTCTTATTTTCTAACACTGGACTTCTTTGTTGCATACAAAGAAGTTGATACACAAACACTTCAGTATCTGTATCATCAGATGCTGGAAGCATGTTTGTTTCCTGGTACTTCATTTTATTCATTTTTATTTTTCAGAAATGTCACTGAATAAGAGCTTATCAATTGCCTATAAACCCTCAAAGCAAAAGAGACCGAAGGGACGCTACTCTGTAAGTATACATGGTTGCCATAGTTACATAGTTGAGCAATACCACGCATGACGAGTTGCATCACCTGTTACCATGACTACTATAGATGACATAATACCAGAGTTGAATGGAGGTGGTATGTGTGTACCAAGACCAAGGTGTCCGGAAAGAAAATACTGCATCCCCAAACATGATCTGATCTGCATCAAGCAGGGAATAAGATGCCATTCTGGTGTGTCGGTGTCGGTTCTAAATGTGTTTTGAAGGAATCAGTTTCCCTTCAATCAGGAACATCAGACATGTGCACGATATAAGCCATTTAAGTTTCTTTTGAACACTTGCCGAAGAAGATTTGTTGATATTAAATAGAGACAGCCTCAATAGTCCAGTGGTAGAGCGTCGGCTCGGAGAGCGGAACTTCAAGGGTTTGATCCCCGGCCGCTTCATACCAAAAGACGTTAAAAGATGGTACTTGTTGTTACCCTTTCTGGCGCTCGACATTAAAGGTCTAAAACAGCGGGTATACTTGTTCTGATAGGGGTATTCATGTTAAACTGCGACATGGTATCTCAGTGGGGTAGCACTATAAAATCGGCAATATTTCAGACTAGTACAAGCAGCCACACGCCCACATTTGCATGCACCTCGCTATAGAAGTGCGAAATCTTGAACACCATGTTAAACCCCATTTCACCTCACCTCACCTGATATTAAATGGACTTTTTTTATCTGCAGATCAGCAAGGTTGATGCTTGGGCAGAGAAGATGAACCAGGAGTTTGATGACGCAGAACATTTTGAACTTAGCATAGAGGGATAAAACCTCTAGAGCACAGTGACATTTGGGCACTGCTCTGTGTTAGGCAAGACTTCTTTTTTTTTTATTCTGTTTGCCCTTAGAAAATAAAGCGGAAAGGAAGAAGCTGTGCATTTTCATATTGCAGTTACCTGGTTTTCTTCGAAATATTTAGACTACGAACATCAAACTGCAGGATAATATGTTTAACAGCAAGACAAGATTTACTAACACTGCCCACAATCTATTCAGATAACAATACCTGTACAAGAAAAATAAAAATTAAATGTCTTTTCTTTTTTTCCTCTGCCCCATCTTCTGACCAGGGCCCATTTGCACAAAGCGTTCTTAGCGCTAAGATGATCGTAACTCCCATTCTTCAGCATAGGCTTACAATAGTCTTAGCGCTAAGATAGCTTGTGCAAGTGGGCCCAGGATTTTAACATAAAATATCCACACAAAAAGAAACAAGGAGTCTGTCCTTGCCATGTGGATCCTGGATACCATGTGCAGTTTTCAAAACTAACTGGTGGGTGGAGTCTTTGATGTTTAATGCCAATGTATTTGAATCCAGGGGCCCCAACACTGCACTGATGTGTATACTGTGTTGAGAAGAGCAGCAGCTTTCTAAGTCCTGTGTAACCCTAGCAACGTTTTCTGTGCCACTGTGAAGCCATTTGTTCATGTTAGATTTAGAATGCGACAATAAATTTGTTGGAGTATGGAAGAATGATGTAAAATAGTATTTATTCCATCTGATGAATGTGTGCATCATTTTCATGATAACATGTTGTCAATCTTATTAAAATCAGATCTTAGTTCTCGCTATCGCTAAGCAAAGATCTGAGGACGTTCCATTACGGGTCACGTCAGAATGACCTTTCATCTGACCAATCAAAGTGTCGCTTACCAGATCATGAAAGTGACAGTCGGAATGTGTTTTCTAATCCTGCAACCTCGAAGATGTTAACACGGGGTATTCCGAACGACAGTTACAGACTGTACGACTGATTCTGTCAAAATTAACGGAGGAGGCATTGCACAGTACATGGGAAGCACTGCTATACAATCTCAACCATATATTAGACATTCCGGAATGTTGGTTTGTTCAGTTTTCAAAATTTTAATCGAGAACTTTGTCAACATATTTTTCACACGTAGTCTGAAATGGAAGTCACCAGGTTGAAACAAGTGCCGTAAAGGTTGAGAAAGCTGCTTTCTTATTGGCTGATGTTGACTTCTTGTTAGTCATTTCAGTTGTCGGTCAAAGTTCACGAAAGGTCGTTCTGACGTGACCCGTAATGGGATGTCCTCAGATCTTCGTTTAGCAGCAGCGAGAACTTAGATCTGATTTAAATGAGATTGACAAATTGTCTAAATATTTCAGTGATGTTTTAGAACGTATCAGTTTGTCATGTTGTCGAGTACATGTTCCTTAGCATGCGTGCTGACCTTTAAGACGTACGTGACTTCATCTGTATATACAGTATATAAAATCCATTAGTTTACCTGTTTTCCAGTTATCCCTGCTGCCTGGACAGTTACTATTAGGGACTGTGTATATATGTAAATTAAAGTAATGTTGCTGTGTGTTAATGATATGATTGTCCAGTGTGTTTGATATTAATATATTAACACCAGTCGATAAAAGTTTTAAACTTTTATTGACGAGTGTTGATATATTTGATATCAAAAGACATTGAGATTCTTTTTATTATCCAAAATCATTCAACCAACCTTCTCGGTTTTTTAGCAGTAATGACCAGTGTTTTGAGAGTAAAAAGTACAGCTATTCAGCTTTAGTGGCAGAAAATAGTCATTAAATTTTGATTTTGACAATGGTCTGCAAAGTACTGATGCAATTTCATTGAACCTATTACTCTCGTGGAAGTGGGTTTTCGATTGTAAATCTCCATTCTACTATATTAAGTGCCCTTGACCTATCTACCCGTGAAGATTCCGGGGTAGAATAGGTCTTCAGGAACCCATACTTGCCGTAAAAAGCGACTTTGCTTGTTGTAAAAGGCGACTAACGGGATCGGGTGGTCAGGCTCGCTAACTTGGTTGGTACATGTCATCGATCCCAATTGCGTGGATCGATGATCATGATGTCAATCACTGGATTGTCTGGTCCAGACTCGATTATTTTACAGACTGCCGTCATATAGCTGGAATACTGCTGAGTGCGGCGTTAAACAACAAACAAACAAACATCTACTGTAGTTCCGCTGTGTGCCTGATCAGGGCTTGATTTAATGAACTTTGATTTAAAAATGTGCACCAGGTGCTTGTTGAGATGAAAGCCAAGTTGCACCATGTTGCCATCAATCTGAATGTTATTAAGACTTTCACTGGTCCTCAGAGCTTGTAGTGCTACTTGAACAAGACAAAAGCGTTCACTATGTTTACATTTTTTGCCATAAAAAGCCTTAGCTTGTCGAAAGAGGCAACTAACGGGATTGGGTGGTCTGGCTCGCTTACTTGGGTGGTGCATGTCATTGAATCCCAATTGCATCGAATGATGCTCATGATATCAATCACTGGATTGTCAGGTCCAGACTATTATTTACAGACTGCCGTCTTATAGCTGGAATATTGCAACAAAACAACAAACAAAACATTTTTTTGTCAGTTTAATTCAGTTCAAATTTATATCAATGTTGTACAATCATTGTTTTTTTTATTTGTCTTCATCACAATTTAGTCAGGGCAAGCAGCCTGGTGTGAATTTCAATTGATGGGGAAGGGTCTGAGAGGTTTTGCCTGTTTGGCAACATGTCTTTTTATTGTCTTGTCAAGGGGTTACCTGGGACTGATGTTTTCAATTTCAGGCAGTTAAGTAAGTTTCATGTTTCTCTTGTTACCCATTTTGTACAGTGGTTTTATGCAAGTACCTATTATTGATGTTAATGATATTTGTCATTTGTGACACGGCCATTTCTGCCTTGTTCACAAGGTGTGTACGTGTCAGTTGTGTGTGGTGTTCAAAGTGTTCAATATAGTGTTACTACCAGAATACCTTCCAAATGTTTAAAGTGGAGTAGGAGTTCTATCAGATATCATTCAAGTCATAATTAGGCCTCCCATTAGTCGGCCATCTTCTCGAGGCAAGGGAGTTAATTGACTTTAAAGTTCAGTTTCCACCCTTGCCGAACTAGAATGGAATTTCTGGCCTCGATTGTAGAGAAACCAGTGGCTATTGCAAGTTATGTCCCTTCGATGTCCCTCCTATTGATCAACTAGATTCCACCTCTCTTATCTATTGCATTTGCTTCAAACAAAATGACGACGCCCAGTCAAGACGATCTGATCGATAATCAAACTCGGGCATTACCTTCTGCTTAGAAATTGATCTCTCTCTCCCCCTCCTCCAAATCCTGCATTATCATTGGCTAACAACATACTTGAAATCTTGTCTCGCTTATATATTTACGTTAGTTTGTCAACAGAATCCGAATGTACCACACGAGGTCTTTGGATGATGGCGGCACACTATCATACCACTACTTGTCAATTCTACAAATGAGTAGTGCGGTACTAATTTTCCCAATTTATCTAAGAGAATTGCAAAATGGTGTTTCTGTTCTAATGACTGTACATGAAATTTTAAAGTGTAGATGGGCGAACTCATTAGGAATTATTGTAGAATAGTTCAATCAGTGCAGTAATGAAATGTAATTGTCAATGTTGAAAGGTATTTTGTTAGCGTGTTGCCTGTTTTAGATTGTTTAGCAGGAAAAAAATGGAAAATTAAAAATACATATCTGAAAGCAAGTTTGTGTTGTTTTTATGACAGGGTGAGGTTCAACAGTTTCACGGATATATCTGTATGTCTGCTTCATGTGGGAGGACAGGCAGACAATTGGCCCTGGTGCCAGGACAAACGGATTCGTCTAGGACCTGTGAGGGTTAAAATAGGTCTCAGCAACCCATGCTTGTCGTAAGAGGCGACTAACCGGATTTGGTGGTCAACCTCGCTGACTTGGTTGATGCATGTCATCGTATCCCAATTGTGTGGATAGATGCTCATTCTGTCAATCACTGTAAATAATCAAGTCTGGACCAGACAATCCAGACTGCCGTCATTTAGCTGAAAGCGGCGTTAAACAACAAACAAACAAACTTGCAGACTGAGGACAAGCTTAAGACATAGAGGAGACCTTGTGTAGATTGATGCTGATTTACAGAACGCTGGTGCTGTTGAAGCAGGGGGTTAAGTATCAGTCACTAGATCGTCTAGTCCAGGCTTGATTATTTACAGCGCGCTATCATATAGCTGAAATATTACTGAGTGCGGCATTAAACAAACCAGACAAAAACATAAACGGTTGGGACAGTCTGCAGATATGGGACGTAACAGTGAATCGTGTTACAGCTTAGGTTGCAATGAGTGTCCCGAGTCGAAGATGAAGCAATCCTGGGCTGCTGTGGTGAGGCGGTTTTCCCTATCTTTGGATGAACTGAGCAATATTGCCAAAGTTGGAAATATGTGGATACCCGAACAGCCTCTAAATAGACCCCTAAATAGACTGTGTACCAAAAGGCGGGTTGGCAGCCTCATAATACCCACGTCATGAAGTTACTAGGGCAAAACCATTGTGTCAGATGCCCCAGTTAGACAGTGGAGTGGAGATGGCTTGTCAAAACGTGTGATTTACCTGTCGGTCTTTCCATCTGCTTCTCAAAGGGGACAACCTTTCTCAAAAACTATTGGTTAGAGAAATAAAATTTTACACTGATATTAATGAGTTTGAAAACTGGCTCGAGTTATGGCTCTGCTCTGTGCACTTCATCTTACTGCCTGAAATGGGTCAATTTTTCTCAGAAACTACTGAAATTTTATGAATGCAAGTTGGCATGCTTATGTAAGAGATACTTGTCACGACTTAGTTCTAAAATTGGAGCCACGAATTATTATTTTATCCATAGAGGGGGCCTTTTGTGTGTATTAATTTCACATTTTGTCATGTTTTTGTAACAAATGACCCTCATGCCTATCTCTTCTTAAGGCTTTATAGGACTCTTTAAATAGTTTTTGAGATGGGCCAGTTTGTCAGGGTTAATACAGGGTTTCGATTTACCGGTAATTGTTAGTAATTTATAGGTAGAATAGATTATGAAAAATTGAAAATTTAACCCTATCAGTCCACTGGACTGGCAGTAGATATGACACTATTATCATAAAACAGAAATCTTGACCAAATCTATGTACATTTATGAATAAATGCTGTCTAAAACTGACTGAATGATGTCTTGAATTTGTTTTTGTAAGATGTTTTGTTTCATTAACGCTGCACCCAGCAATATTCCAGCTATGTGACAGTGGTCCGTAAATAATTCTGAAGTCTGGACCAGACAATCCAGTGATTGACATCATGAGCATCAATCTACACATGTGGGATACGATGACATGCATCAACCTAGTCAGTGAGCCTGACCATCCAATCCCGTTAGTAACCTCTAACCACAAGCATAGGCGTGTCTTAGAACAGGTTTGTTATTGAAAGAGGTTGGGAAGTTCCTAGTCTATATTTAGCCAAGCTTAACCATAAGTTGATATGAATCACATTGACTGAGACAGTAAACTAATTATCAGGGGTGAGAATCTTCCGCGGATCCACGAATTTTAGTAACCACAAATTTGTTAAAATCTGATGGCTTTCCCCATAAACATCCCCAATTTATTGACCACGCTCCATTGCAAATAAGTTTCAGCTGAAAAGGAAAATATCCATTCTCACTCCTGAATTATATCATTATTTCTTAGTGCTGCCCCTTAATCTGTATACTGAATGGGAACACCTCATGAGTGAGTGAGTATGGTTTTATGCCGCTTTTAGCAATATTACGGCAAGGGACACCAGAAATGGGCTTTATACATTGTACCCATGTCAGGAATCGAACCCGAGTCTTCAGCCTGACGAGCGAACGCTTTAACCACTAGGCTACCCGACCGCCCCTTAATACCTCATGAAAATTACAACACTAACAAGAAGGTATGAGAAAATGGTAGTTTATTGATGTTAAATGAATATATAGCTACAAACGCTGTCACAAGACAGTATCAGACAGCCAGAAATATGAATTTCTCAGTCACACCAATGGAACACAAAATGAAGGTAAAAAGTTATCTCCCTTGATGGAAAGTCAGCATGTCAAGTACAGCACCCAATCTATTTAATCCTACACAGTAAGCAGTTGACATACACTAACATCGTCAACAGTCTGCATGCTTCCAATACTGCAGCTAGAGTACTCATGAAGGGAAGGCATTCCAAAACAAACTTCCGGCTTCCTACCCAAGGGAGATAACTTAGCCAAGTGAATTGAATGAGCAACTTGTTGGCGTCATCATAAATACAAAGCAGAAAAGGAACCCAATCAGGTTTTGTGAGTCTGTTCCTCCATGTTTCTGTAACTAGAGATTTAGAATTTTTCTTGAAAGGCAATTTTTATTATGATGATTATTGTGAATAAGTTTTAAAAAACTACTTGTAGTAAAGATTAATCTTGATTCTAACACTTGAGTTTCATACACAAACAGAAATATGAAACAGAGAAATGAACTCAGCCACACAGTGTGGCAAAACAAAACACAATTACTTCACGAGGCTGATGGTTAGTAGCATCTTCATCTTGAATGATTATTCACTTAATATTTGGTCCTATAACTATGCTATTTCTATAAAATCGTTTTTTTCATACCAGATTCCAAAATTCTAAAACATTAACGCAAATGACCTGAAAAAAAACCAATTATACAAATGAACATACTTTTTGAAAAAATTGTAAATGTATTAAAATGATAATCTATGGGGACTGTCTTCATCCCTGTGTATCAGCCTCAGCCTGGTATAATAGACATGGTTGAAATAGACATGATTTCCACACAGTCGTCACAACAAAGATCAAGTGTCTCTATCACAAGTTGTCCATGCTTGTCTATTTCCCTGCCTGCTTCCTCAGCATGTTGTAGATCTTCTCCTTGATCCAGTCTTTGTTGTGGGGGATGTATGTGCCAGTGCTTTTTTGGTACCTGGGAAGATTGAGTGAGTGAGGGGTTTATAGCCTGGAAGGTAATTTAAGGTGCCGACGTTTACTACAATATCTGAAAAACTATTGGACCTACTCCAGTCAAAATTGGTATGAGATTATTAAACAGTCATACATAACTGGATATTACATTTAAAGACAATCGGTGCATGAATAAAAAATCTGTCTATTTAGCTATCACTATATTTCATCAACAACCAGACCTGTTCGTCACCGGTGGAACGAGCATTCATTGAAACAGCCATCTGCATAATGCTACCCCTGCGTCACAGGGCCATATGACACAGTTGAACCAATCAACTCAACTTGAAAGGGTGCACGGGAATCACGCACGCACGGATACGGTGTTAGCGTTGGGCGTCAGGGTAAGGGCACAGAGTACACAGGCCCCTGAAGCAGGATAGTGATATTAATAAAACACCAACCTTATATATAGACAAGGTACGTCACTCACCATCTTGGCCGAAGTTGAAATTTGCTGTATCGTTTACATTAAATGGAAATGTACGCATGTCATGTTCACAATACCTCCCTCCACATGTGCCCGCAACAAACCTTCATTTTTTGTAACATATAACCTATATTTGGTAATTCTAGCGTAATATTGGCTCAATCGTGGCCGTCAGTCACGGAAGAAAACAAAAATCTTCGCTCTCAATGGTGTCAAGCGCTCTTATAGGTAAACGTGTAGAGGGAGGTGGGGAGGTATTGTGAACATTACGTGTTCATTTCCATTTAATCTAAACGATACAGGTGATTTCAAATTCGGCAAAGATGACTTGTGACAGACGAGTACCATGTCTATTTTTATATATGGTTCCAGCGTTTCAGTAAAATCGCTATCCTGCTTCAGGGGCCGGTAACTGGGTACGCTGAAATGTAGACACTTACACTAAACAACTGAGGTCAGCCAGGTCATCCACGAAGTCGAACAGCTGACTGATGTCATAGGTGATCTGGGATGACTGGGGATTGCTTCTTTTTAGATGCTCCTCGAATATCTTACAGATGCCTACAACATGCCCAAGAAATACAGCTGCACATAAATGTTGTCAAACAGTGTACAAGTACTACTAGGGAAAAATGTCTGTTGATTTAACTTCTAATGGAACATTTTTATGCTCTTCAAAAAACATGTCAATCTCATTAAAATCAGACCTTAGTTCTCGCTACCGCTAAACAAAGATCTGAAGACATCCCATTAGGGGTCACGTCAGAACGATCTTTCATCCGACAAATCAGTGCGTCGCTTACCAGATTATGAAAGTGACAGTCGGAATCTGATTTCTAATCATGCAATCTCGAAAACTTTAACATGGGGTATTCCGAACGATAATTACGGGTTTAACGACTGAATCCTTACAATCTAGACCATCTATTAACCATACCAGAAAGGTTTTTTTGTTCAGGTTTCAAATTTGTAATCGAGAATTTGTTAATAAATGTTTCGAAGCGTAGTCGCCAATTTGAAATTTGTGCTGTAAAGCACAAGAAAGCTGCCTTCTGATTGGTCATTCAATTGGTCGGTCAAAGTTCGCGCAAGGTCGGTCTGACGTGACCCGTAATGGGATGTCCCCAAATCTTTGTTTAGCGGTAGCGAGAACTAAGATCTGATTTTAATGAGATTAAAAACATGTAGGACATGTTTAGGCAAATCTGTCAAATAAAGACTCCTTAAGACGCGTGGGGCTGTTTGTACCAGCCCAGGTTAGAGTCAGTGTTATGGTGCTAGCCCAGAGAAATACCATGCCGCAGCACACCATGGGCCTAGTCTGCACTTGCAGAACAGGAGGTATCAGGGACCTTATCTGAACAAGAATCCACAAGATATAGTTAGAATCCTCAACATGTTTAATAATCATTATGATGATAATTTTTTTTCACCTTCAACTTCAATATCAGATTATCGGATCATAAGCCAGAAAAAGTGGCCATGGCTCTCAGAAGGCTGTGGAGTGGTTGGATCACAGTACTCTAAACAGTTAATGGTACTGGTAGACTTGGTAGAACAACTCAGTTTGCAGCTGATGCCCAAACTTGGCTCTAAGCATCAATTTTAGTAGACCTTAGTGTTATCATATGGACTATTAGCTGACCCTACTAAGCAAACAGAATCTTACAAGACTCTTGCCCTTGGGCCAGTGGCTCAAGTCACAGATTGATTATGTCACACATCATATTTCCTACCCTAGTGGGGTAGCCTAGTGGTTAAAGCATTTGTTCATCACACCAAAGACCCAAGTTTCATTCCCCACATTGGTACAATGTGTGAAGCTCATTTCTGGTGTCCCCGCCGTGATATTGCTAAAAGCGGCATAAAACCATACTCACTCACCCCTTCCATCAAGTATCAAAATGAAAATTGTACCAAAGTGACAAATCTCAGGGCAGATGGCCTTCAAGAGCCGTGACCATTACCTTTGTTCAGGTGAGCTAACTATTTTGATGGCACTTGTCCTAATGTAAACCAACCTTCCAAACATTCGTTGAGAGACTCATAATCTGAGTATGTTCTTGTCTCTGGTCTGATGGTAGGCTGGACGAGTAGGATTGTGTGTGACTGCAACAAAGCACAGACAAGAAAGGTAATTATTATTTCAAAGCACCATCAATAAACAGGATTAGATATCATAGTGGTCATCAGAGCTACAGATAAGCTGCATTTATGCGTAAAATAACCCCCCCCAAAAAAAATATTCAAAACCCAATTACTTTCAATTAACTTACGTACAGAAATGTATGCATTAAATAAAAAACTCAAATGTATAAAAACAGCTTGCGTAAAATACCCAATGAAGCTTTTTCAGCTTGTGTACATAGGAGCTAATATCCAAAACACAATTACAAGCTAATTTACTCTCCTAGTCAAGCCTCTATATTTAGAACAGTTATATCTTCTAAAACATTAGTTTATTTCTTTTAAATCTTATAATGTTCACTAATTTTGGGAAAAACCCAACATGCCCAATAGAGTGTTGAACAGAAGAGTGAAAAAATATTGGTTACCCAATGAAAATAGTAATACCGTATTCGACGTAATAAGCACCCCGCTCTTATTAGCGCCCACTAGTGAACAATCCCCATTGCACCCCTTCTGATTAATCAATGTACACAAGACTTATTTATTTGTGTATAATACACACTTGTGTGTTATATGCACCCTTAACTATTGGCAATTAAATTCTGGAAAATTATATCTGTCGTATATAAACATTTCAGGCTGTCAGCATAAACCACGAAATTAATATCCAAAACACAATTACAAGCTAATTTACTCTCCTAGTCAAGCCTCTATATTTAGAACAGTTATATCTTCTAAAACATTAGTTTATTTCTTTTAAATCTTATAATGTTCACTAATTTTGGGAAAAACCCAACATGCCCAATAGAGTGTTGAACAGAAGAGTGAAAAAATATTGGTTACCCAATGAAAATAGTAATACCGTATTCGACGTAATAAGCACCCCGCTCTTATTAGCACCCACTAGTGAACAATCCCCATTGCACCCCTTCTGATTGATCAATGTACACAAGACTTATTTATTTGTGTATAATACGCACTTGTGTGTTATATGCACCCTTAACTATTGGCAATTAAATTCTGGAAAATTATATCTGTCGTATATAAACATTTCAGGCTGTCAGCATAAACCACTTATTACGTCGAATACGGTAACCCAATTAAAATAGAAACCCTAGTGTAAAAACTCAATTGCTCAAAAAGGTATCTGGACTTCTTGGTCATAAACACCTTATGCATGAAAATTTTAACCACTAGGATACACCACCTCTGGAGGAGTAACAATGCAATGGGGTCACAATGCGATACCTATCCAAATACTATGTTGTGCCATACGATTTGTACTTTGGTATTTATGTTAATATTCTTAATTTTTGCATGTGGATCCCACCTCTGAATCAGTGGACAGCTGTTTAGAACTGGTGTGTCAGCATTCATTTACTGAGGAAGATATCTTTATGACAAAATATTAATTTGTTTAAAAAAATTCAGAGATTGAAGATGGGACAATGTTGGGCAGAAACAAAGGCTAGAGGGCACTGTGAATGTTATGCTATGTACAGCCAACTGAGAACATGGAGAAAGACCAGAGAATCTATGTAAACTGGTCACGGAACAGTTTTGTTAAGCTTTATAAACCTGTTGTTATTCATGTCTTTACATGAAAATAACTTGTAATAAAAAGCATCACAACACTGGTTGTAGATCGATGTATTATATTATTGTGGGCATCCTATTGGTATACAATACTGTATCGTTACACCACTATTCATCACCCAGGGGTTCACAATTCAATTCCTGGTACACTCTGTTAGTAATTCGCTCTACAATCTTCATTTCAAAATAATAAATAATTTCTTGGTAAATCACAAAAATTTATTGTAAGTCACCAGTTCATCAAATTTGTATCAAAATATAGGAACTGAAACCAGAGCTTCAGCATGACATGCAACATCTATACCCATCAGCATGATACCCCACAATCCTGGCTGGAAAAATAGTATTAACCATGTTAACTCTGAAGACATTTCTTTGGCATCTGGGTAAATACCATAAGGAACATGGGAAGAAGAAGGCTCCAGGAGATAACATAATCCTTCACACCAAGGCCTGTTTACTACCTTGGGCTTTTTTACAGTCAATACAACAATGTGGGTGTTAACTGTACAGTATTAAACTGTGGTTATGATCCTAGAAAAGTGGCTTGCACCCCAAATTGATACGGTCAAATCTGACAATTACATCATGGGTACTATGTTTGAAGCCCAGTTTCTGTTGTCCCCCGCCGATGATAGTGCTAAAAGCATTGTAAAACCATAATCACTGAAAACAACACGAACAAGAGAAGATAATGATAAAGTATCATTCCAACAGAAAGGATATCTTTATGTTTTGACACAGACGACATGATATCACAACCCATGTATTGTACTATTGCATACCTCTGTCTCATTACATTGATTGCCAAATTCCATCAACACCAAAATCGATAAGGATACATACACAGGAAGAAGACACAGGCACCTGTATAAATATATTTTAGGATAACATTCAACCGGCTAACTTCAAAATGCGTAATGATTTGGCTTTGAATGTGAGTCCGCTCTATCAAAACTGCAAACGATAGCAGCAGCGATCACAAGTTCCATTTCGTCGTGGCACATGTTGAACGAAGCCAATCTTCAGCTGAGGTTCATTTTCAGGCAATGAAAGGTTTACGGCAGCCATATGGTTAATTGTGCACAATAAAAAACAAATAAGCTAAGCCATGTCAATACTTTCAACTGAACAATGTAAATATATAAACACTAATGTAGTCAATACCATTGTTGCAAACTTGGATGATGTTTCTGAGCTTGTTGGTGAATGTTACCGGAAGTTGTTTCTATCTCACGAAAACGAGATTTTTTTGTTTCGAAAGGATTTTTTAATTTGATACATTTAACGACTTTTACATTATTTTCAATACGAAATATGCTAAAAGTTATTGAAAATAATTCGTTAATTAAAAAAATACCTTCCATTTTGCGCCACCTGACGGGAGTCGGCGTCATCAAAACATGGTCGTACGTGGTAGGACAGCTGTTTGAGTGTCATTTGGAGCTATTGAATATTGAACTGCACGATCATGGACGAATTATGGACTTTGGTATTACTGTCACTGGCAATGTTGGTGGGCTGTTATCTTGCTGGCATAATTCCACTAGCGTTCACATTTTCAGAGGTTTGTATGCTTTGATTTAGATTTCGAAGTTGAAGGAGTTAATCATGTTTCTGAGTCAGATAGGCCTGGTGATATATTGTATGTCTTGGTGTCATCACGTCATTTAAACATGAAGACTATATAGAGTGTGTGAAAATATGTAGTTATTCTTCTTACGAGTCAACATTCTGGCTGCTCCATTGATCTGTTGTATTGTCATTGGTATACATGACAACAAACATTCAAGTTTTTAGTCACGTTGACATTGATAGATCTATATCATAGGGACCTATGTTGGAGATGTATGATCTTCTGTATTATAAATTATGCAAGACAGCAATATTATCCTTTTCAGAGTCACTGCCTCATCTTCTACAAATTGAAAATATTATTGATGACAAGACACAACATGGATGATCAATTTCTTTATTTTAGTTGAGCTGATGTTTCTGTTCAATTATGAAGCAAGTTCTCAAGCAATGTCGCTACACTTGTAATAATGTGTTGATCATCTGTCCTATCCTGTCATCAGACTCGATTATAAACAGACCACCATCATATAGCTGGAATATTGCTGTTTGCAGCATTAAACAACAAATGAATAAACAAACAAACCTTGCCAGCATGAAACTATCCTGGGATAATGAGCCTGATAAACCAACACCCTACCACAGGACTGACCTCGGGTGCTTTCCCGAATCATTCACCAAGTCAACAGCAATCGATTGTGTACCTTTATGCCTATGCACAATAGCCATTTTTGCCACGAAACTTGATTAAAATTGTACTTAGTTTCTTTAGATTACATTGGATTTATTTGTTAAAAGAGATAGCTAACCCATACCCTACCTCACAACTCAAGGATCGTAAGATTTGTAACATGTAAATACGTCTGAGGTTACTAGTCATGAGGTGAACCATCCCTTGCGTTAAAATTGATTCGATTTGTGCCCCTGATCGTTAGTACTGTAATAAAATGGGTATCATATCACTTGAGTACCTTAATTAAAAACATGAAACGATTTGCAAAATATCTGATGATGCCAAGCTGACAGTACAAATGCTTGGCAAATGGACTGGGTGCCGCAAATGCAAATGAAATTGGAAGCAAATACAAGTGTTATGTGAGATGGAGTCTGATTGGCCAATAGGAGGGACATAGAAGGGACGTAACTCGTAATAGCCACTGGTGGCGCTAAAATCAAGCCTGGAAATTCCAGCCTCGTTCGTCAAGGGTGGAAACTGGACTTTTATAGTCGGTTAACTTCCTTGCCACGGGAAGATGTTTGTGATGAGGAAATGATGAGTGAATTAAACAGTAACCACCCCTTGCAAGAAGATTCAGAAGAACGTGGGTGTGCAACTTGCAAGGTGCCTCAACTCATTGTGCAGAGTTGCCTCCCTTAGGCATGCCATTGTTCCATGATCATTTTTCAAATTGATGATTATGATCAGTGGATAGTTGTCAGCACCACACCTGTGATCATGGTTTCTTCCAAAGTGGTAAAAGACCTGCATCACAAGAGGTTTCCTCTCACATCCATCTGACTGTGTCAATATTTGATATAACCATTATAACTGACAATGAAATACTGTGGCATACAACACAACACGACCCGTGAAGATCCAGGGTAGAATAGGTCTTCAGCAACCCATGCTTGCCGTAAAAAGCGACTATGCCTGTCGTAAGAGGCAACTAACGGGATCGGGTGGTCAGGCTCACTGACTTGGTTTGAAGCATGTCATTGATCCCAATTGCGTGGATCAATGCTCATGATATCAATCACTGGATTGTCTGGTCCAGACTTGATTATTTACAGACTGCCGTCTTATAGCTGGAATATTGCTGAGTGTGGCGTAAAAAACAAATCAACCAACCTAACTACGCAGACCAATGCTCATGATGTCAATCACTGGATTGTCTGGTCCAGACTTCATTATTTACAGACCGCCGTCATATAGCTGGAATATGCTGAGTACAGTGTTAAACAACAAACACAACTCACTCCTGGAATCTTTTGTAGACAGGAATAGGTGTGAAATTATTGTCTTTGAAAGTGGAAAGGCATGGTTTTTTTATGAAATTAAATATACTTTGATAATAAGACAATCTTGAAGAAATTGAGTGTGTACACTGAAAACAAAATATTTCTCTATCTTAGTATGCAAAACATCAATTAGGAACAATTCAAGAATGACCTACACTGTACATGTCTCCTTTTCAAGGTTATTTAAAAACATGAATATCCTGAAATCTTTGTAAACAAAGAAGACTCATGACGTTTTCTACTTGCACAACAGGATGCATATGTGGTAAACACGTGGTAAATATGCAGGAAAATGTTGTATCCTAAAAAAATATACCAGGTAATATATCTTCAGTGTGTTCCCGAGTCTAGTCACATTTATTAATATAAAGTTTATAATACCACTAGAATCTACTGAAAATGATATCCTGACACTTTGGGGCAAATAAGACCAAGAAGTGTCACCAAAATGTGCTGAATTTGATGGAATGTTTGAAAATGGTGGCAGTGAAAACATGTTTATTTTCAAAATCTTGAATTTGAAAGTTTTGATTACCGATCAAGGAATTATCTAATTAACAAGATTATTTTTTTCTGTGGTTTGAGGAATATTTTCATTTTTAAGTCCAGATAACTGGAACAACACAGCAAATTAAACTTATATTTGAAATATCATTGATTGAATGAGACAATAAAAATGTCAAATGTTGATATAATTTGGTTCTAATAAGTAACAGAAATTATATCTTGTTGCATAAATTTATCTGTGAATCCTATTGTATTACCGGTATATGTTGTTGAGGCAAACCCATCCGTCACACCTGTCATTGTCTGGAGTTACGGGATGAGGCTCTGTGTGTGTAACACATGGAAAAAGTGACGTGTCACAACACATTATGCTCCGTTTCATGTTTTCGTACAACTAGCTTGTGTAAGTTTGATTTTTCATACTTGCCAGTATGGCTACGACCATAATTCAGATTAATAATAAGTTGTTGTTTGGATTGTGTGTATATATATATGCCCCTAATCATTGTGTTTAAGGAACTGACCATCATTTGGAAGCCCCAACCCTGAATCCAATATCTTGTCGAGTTCCACCATAGCTGTTATTACTGTAGACTGTGTCTTGCAGAGCTCCATATAACTTTTTGAGCAATTGAGTTTTTACTCTAGGGTTTCCATTGTGATTGGGTTATTACATTTTTTATTTGGGTAACCAATATTTTTTCACTCATCTATTCATCATTCTATTGTTTTTTTCCCCAAGTTGGTGAATATTTTAAGATGTGAAAAAAATGAACTAATGTTTTAGATGTGTGTAACTGTTCTAAATATATTGGTTTGGCGTAGAAATTAAATTAGTTCATAATTGTGTTTCGGAAATTAGCTCCTTTGTACACAAGCTGAAAAAGCTTCATTGGGTATTTACGCGTGCTGTTTTTATACATTTGAGTTTTTCATGTAATGCATGCGTTTCTGTACGCATATTAATTGAAAGTAATTGGGTTTTGAATATATATTTTTTTGTTGGGGGGGATATTTTACGCAAATATGCAGCTTATCTGTAGCTCTTGTCTTAGTAGTCACTAGTTTATACCATTAACATACATTTATTTGTGCTTCACTGTAGATAAACCTGTCATCTTCATTTCACTTTTTCTGACATTCTTCAAATGAATGTTTTCAAAAAAAAATTACTAAAAGAAATAAACCTGACCTTCCTACGATGTATTTGGATGGGCTGAAATTACGGTGCATACCTCGACAACCCCAGGCACACCCCCTCGCTCCCTTGAATAATGACTTGAGATTTGCCAACTATTCATATTGTAGCTAGTTGTACAGAAGGTAGTATCTTTCTAGGGTTGTAAACTGTGTATCCCTGGGAGACAAATTGGGAAAAGAAATAGTCTTATTACCGGTTTGTCAAAAATGGGATTTTTTATAAAGTTCTTATTTTCTTATATTTAGAGGTATTTTAACATTATATTTTGTGATTGCATTCATTGAAATAATATTAAACCTAGCAATAAAAGCTGTTGCTCTTTGTTGGGCCTGTTATCAGTGAAATCCAGATTGCCGCTACAGAGCCGTACATTTAGTTGTTGACATGAATTGGGAAATTTTTAATTTCAATTTGGGAATTTTTTGGTAACATTTGCTGCAGTTTTGGGCCAGAATATCGGCCTTTGAGCGGGTCTAGATATATTGCTGCAGAGTAGGTAGTTTCCTGTCATACAAGTTTATGTCACTGTTAGTATGGCGGAAAGCTGTCAGGGTGATGCAGGAAGAGATGACGCCATCTGCAGTGGGAACACCTGCTGTGTTGATAATCCCCTTGTATGGTTAATCTGGGATTAGCAGGCTAAACCTTGAGGAACTTGACACAGCTGTGCTGGAGATAGTGTACCATACTTCCTCTAATAGATGCCAGATTGCCAATACAGGCCGGCCTCTAATTTGCGCCTGGCTTTATGCTCTGTCCAAAATATAGAAGCTGGACCTCTGTTAGATGCTGGGACTCTAATACTTAATAATGACTGTTTCTTGTGAATGTACTCTTGGTATGACTAGATTTGGGGAGGTAGTGAGTTACCACTACTTAACAGGCCTGTCGGTTAGCCGTTAAAGCGTTTGCTCGTCACGCTGAAGACCCAGGTTCAATTCCCGACATGGGTACAATGTGTGAAGCCCATTTCTGGTGTCCCCCGCCGTGATATTGCTGGAATATTGCTAAAAGCGGCGTAAAACCATACTCACTCACTCATTACTTAACATTTAACAGAACAGACACAGGGCCTGTAACAGATGCCAGGTCAACGGCTTTCTTGAAATTATTGGATATCCGGTTGTCTATTAGAGGAAATACAGTATTTTGATTTTATTGCACCTTTTTTTTTTTTGAATGTGTTTACTGCCTCTATGAAAAATAAATCATCTGATTTGGGAGGAAAGGAAGTGATGCAGGTCTTTATACTTTGGTAAAACCCACAAGGCTGGGTGGTGCTGACAAACCTAGAAACATAATTGGGGCAAATTTGGATTTGAACCAATGATTCTGGGGTTTTGGTGTGCCCAATGGGGGCTTTGCTCAGTATTGGGCCACTGGTGCCCCTTCTTACACCTTAGCTGTATAGTGAGTGAGTGAGTGAGTTGGGTTTAACGCAGCTTTTAACATTATTCCAGTTATATCGCGGCGTGCCAGCTTAATGTGTGAGGAAAGCCTGAAGTGATGCAGGTCTCAGACGTTTACCACTTCGGTGAAACCAACGAGCATGGGTATGGTGCTGACAAACCTAGAAACATAATCAGGGTGAATCGGGATTCGAACCCACAATCATAGGTTTCTGGCGTGTCCAGGGGACGCAACTCTGCACAGCGTATCGCTGCGCCTTAGACGACTGGGCCGCCCGTGCCCCCCCTTAGCTGTATAAATACACTCAGTATGTCTTATAGATTTGTAATCCAAGGACATGTTTAATCTTCTTACCCAGTTCTATGTTGCTTCAAGATCTGAGGACATTACTATTATTAATCAGGTTCTTAATGAGAAGTGTGAGGGTCCAACCGTTGGCGCCTTCATGTGAGACCAACACCTGAAGTTTCCATATTCATGCCAGTTTGATATGTGTAAAATTAAAAAAACACCAACTAAATATACCTAAAACATATCATGTATAACACCATCTAAACCTCCTGATTTTACTGTCCGAGATATCAACATGATCAAGTTACTCTGCCCATGGAATTTTCATTAACTCTACAATTAGCCTCCACTGATTGACATGGCATCACATCCATGCCAGGTCAACGACACAACACCGACATCACCGAATCTCCCCACTTTAGACTATTAAGAACTGCTAAAGTCATGAAAATGTCCCCGTGACATTTGTCTCAAACAAATTTTGTTTATGTCAAACTTATAATTCTTCCTTACCATGAAGCGGTTTAACTTAAACAGTCGTAATAAGCCTTTTTTTTGTAAGAGTCTGGGATTTAATCATGTTGACAATGGGGAATTAATATTTAAGTAGAATGTGTTATTTTTTCTTATGTTTGTTTGTCCTTGTTTATCTAGTTTCTATATCATGTTACTTTTGGCATCCAAACCCATCTTCCCAAGGCAAGGTAGTTAATTGACTTTAAAAGTCCAGTTTCCACCCTTGCTGAACTAGGCTGGTATTATGGACTTACAGTTTGGCTGGACTAACGAGTCTATGCATAGTCCAATCAAAATCGCAGAACGAAATCGAAATCCGCTTCATAAACTGTCATGCAGATTTCGGTCGATTGCAGGATTTGCAAAGCATGTGCACCGCCAACTCGTTGTCAACAGATATTTTACGAATCTTTTCATGTTTTTAATCAAGGTGCTCACAAGATTTGATGCACTTCACGATGTAAGACCCATTTTATCACAATATAGATCTTGATTATCACTGAGATCATCCTGACTGGGCCATTTCGTTTTAAACTAATGCAAGTGATACGAGAGGTAGAATCTGATTGGTCCATAGGAGAGGCATGGAAGGGACATAATCCGTAATATCCACTGGTGACGCTATAATCGGGCCCAGGAATTCCAGCCTAGGTCGGCAAGGGTGGAAACTGGACTTTTGTAGTCAGTTAACTCTCTTTCCTCAGGAAGGTGTCAATACCAGGCACTTGTGCATACTGAACGCACATAAAACCCTGTATCATATATACTGGTAAATGTTGCACGATATTGTCCATGGTTCGATGATAAGATTTTGTGTGTTCATTGTTTTTTTTAAAAATCTGATTGGGTCTAAGAATGTCAGACCTGGATATATGGGTCTAAGAATAGGAAACCTGGATATATGGGTCTAAGAATAGGAGACCTGGATATATTGGTCTGAGACTATAAGACCAGGATATATGGGTTTAAGAATATCAGACCTGGATATATGGGTCTAAGAATAGGAGACCTGGATATATGGGTCTAAGAATAGGAGACCAGGATATATGGGTCTAAGAATAGGAGACCTGGATATATGGGTCTAAGAATAGGAGACCTGGATATATGGGTCTAAGAATAGGAGACCCTAATATATGGGTCTTAGAATAGGAGACCTGAATATATGGGTCTAAGAATAGGAGACCTGGATATATGGGTCTACAGATATCAGACCTGGATATATGGGTCTAAGAATAGGAGACCTGGATATATATCGGTCTAAGAATAGAAGACCAGGATATATGGGTCTATTATTATTAGACCTAGATATATGGGTCTATGAATAGGAGACCTGGATATATGTATCACAACATTTACAAGATGCGGATAATTTTAGAATCTGTTTCTCAGACATCACAAACCCTAGATAACAATAGATGAATCTTAAGGTACAAGGACTTTAAAACTTAATTGTGTGTGCCGTCGGCACTCTGATACAAGGAATATGAGCCTTGTTTGTCTGTGCAGTCTGCATTCTGATATAAGGACTATTAGCCCGTATTTGTGTTTGTTTGTGTATCTCTAAGCCAGTCTTTGTGTATCTCTAAGCCAGTGTTTGTGTATCTCTAAGCCTGTGTTTGTGTATCTCTAAGCCTGTGTTTGTGTATCTCTAAGTCTGTGTTCGTGTATCTCTAAGCCAGTGTTTGTGTATCTCTAAGCCTGTGTTTGTGTATCTCTAAGCCAGTGTTTGTTTGTGTATCTCTAAGCCTGTGTTTGTGTATCTCTAAGCCTGTGTTTGTGTATCTCTAAGTCTGTGTTCGTGTATCTCTAAGCCAGTGTTTGTGTATCTCTAAGCCTGTGTTTGTGTATCTCTAAGCCTGTGTTTGTGTATCTCTAAGTCTGTGTTCATGTATCTCTAAGCCTGTGTTTGTGTATCTCTAAGTTTGTGTATCTCTAAGCCTGTGTTTGTTTGTGTATCTCTAAGTCTGTGTTTGTGTATCTCTAAGCCAGTGTTTGTGTATCTCTAAGTTTGTGTATCTCTAAGCCTGTGTTTGTGTATCTCTAAGCCTGTGTTTGTGTATCTCTAAGCCTGTGTTTGTGCATCTCTAAGCCTGTGTTTGTGCATCTCTAAGCCTGTGTTTGTGTATCTCTAAGTCTGTGTTTGTTTGTGTATCTCTAAGTCTGTGTTTGTGTATCTCTAAGCCTGTGTTTGTGCATCTCTAAGCCTGTGTTTGTGTATCTCTAAGCCAGTGTTTGTGTATCTCTAAGCCTGTGTTTGTGTATCTCTAAGCCTGTGTTTGTGTATCTCTAAGTCTGTGTTTGTGTATCTCTAAGTTTGTGTATCTCTAAGTCTGTGTTTGTTTGTGTATCTCTAAGTCTGTGTTTGTGTATCTCTAAGCCTGTGTTTGTGCATCTCTAAGCCTGTGTTTGTGTATCTCTAAGCCTGTGTTTGTGTATCTCTAAGTTTGTGTATCTCTAAGCCTGTGTTTGTGTATCTCAAAGCCTGTGTTTGTGTATCTCTAAGCCAGTGTTTGTGTATCTCTAAGCCTGTGTTTGTGTATCTCAAAGCCTGTGTTGTGTGTTCCAGGAGAAGCTGAAGCTGGTGACGGTGCTGGGGGCAGGGCTGCTGGTGGGGACCGCCCTGGCTGTCATCATCCCTGAGGGAGTCCACGCCATGTACACCTCAGGAGGTCAGTTGACGCATGTGACACATCCTCGATAAACCAGGGAATACACCTCCATGCTACTTAACTGGACCCATTCGCTACCATAGCCTCGTTTAGGAGGTGACATCACCAACGTCTCAGACTTTCTAACACTTGTGACTGTAACTTGATTGGACAGTAATTTTTAGCATTGCATATTTATAATCGAATTTGAATTTGTCGTTAAAGAAGTTATGTCAAAATCTCTGTCAGTCTTATCAGTAATTTTCTTGGATTTTGTCTTGCTGATGACTGTATTCTAGTAAGGCAGCTATTTTTAGCATTGAACCTATGATGGCAAATGGGTCCAGGGTATTTATGGTAATAGAAGGGAGGTATAATACCCTGGCTCGTCGAGGATGATTTTGAGACTGGAACATAATTACTTTAGAGATCAGCTGAACAATTTCAGAGCTTAATGGCTTGTTTATGGGATGTGCTGTACCAGCAGTTAGTTCAGCATGTTCTGACTGATGAGGCCACATATACTCCAGGAACCGGCAAACCCCACTGTATACTAGAATTCCTGTTTAACTCATTGGTGTAAGAAAACATGATACTCTTTAACACATGAAAAATATAATCTTCAGTGGGGTTCATCGAAATCATAGTTGCAAGTATTACCCTCAAGGGTAGAAAGAAACAGTTACCAGTAACAACATTCCGATGTTTGCTCATGTGAATTTTGGCTATTATCAATGCTGATTGGTCAGTTGTTGCAATATGACATTACGTTATTGTTGATAACTGAGATTTGACTTCATCAGAGCGATAGGGTTTCTCAGTGAAATTTCTGTGTGTGGTTGAATTTCATATATTTTCTGATCTTATAGCAACATATGGCTTAATTAGGAACATAGGAATTACAAATTGTCTGTCACATATGAATGAGAACCTCACCAAAGCTTCATGGCCTTCACTATTCATTCGTCTAATTGTGTAGGGGGCTGTCGGGTAGCCTAGTGGCGTAAGTGTTGGCTCGTCACGCCAAAGGCCTGGGTTCGATTCCCCACATGGGTGTAATGTGTGAATCTTTTATTTCATGTCCTTCATAGAATGTTTTACCTATTAACGAAACTATAACATGTCCCTTCAGAACCCCATCTACATGCTCACAATGAGGTCAAGGCCATTGACGCATCAGACGCCCACAAGGAGCCCCAGCATGGGGAAGGGGAGGCAGGGCACGACCATCACCATGACCACCAGCATGACATGTCAGAGGAACACTCGAGGATCGGCATAAGTCTGGTGACTGGCTTCATCTTCATGCTCCTGGTGGATCAGATCGGAGGCTCTCACATGCATGGAGCACCAGGTAGGTGTTTCACATTGTGTGCTGGTGGATCAGATCGGAGGCTCTCACATGCATGGAGCATCAGGTAGGTGCTTCACATTGCGTGTAGGTGCTTCAAATTGCGTGTAGGTGGATCAGATCGGAGGCTCTCACATGCATGGAGCACCAGGTAGGTGTTTCACATTGCGTGCTGGTGGATCAGATCGGAGGCTCTCACATGCATGGAGCATCAGGTAGGTGCTTCACATTGCGTGTAGGTGCTTCAAATTGCGTGTAGGTGGATCAGATCGGAGGCTCTCACATGCATGGAGCACCAGGTAGGTGTTTCACATTGCGTGCTGGTGGATCAGATCTGAGGCTCTCACATGCATGGAGCATCAGATAGGTGCTTCACATTGCGTGAAGGTGCTTCACATTGCGTGCTGGTGGATCAGATTGGATGCTCTCACATGCATGGAGCATCAGGTAGGTGCTTCACATTGCGTGTAGCTGCTTCACATTGCGTGTAGCTGCTTCACATTGCATGCTGGTGGATCAGATCGGATGCTCTCACATGCATGGAGCATGAGGTAGGTGCTTCACATTGCGGTAGGTGCTTCACATTGCGTGTAGGTGCTTCACATTGTGTGCTGGTGGATCAGATCGTAGGCTCTCACATGCATGGAGCATGAGGTAGGTGCTTCACATTGGGTGTAGGTGCTTCACATTGCGTGTAGGTGTAGGGAATTTGGTGTTTATTTACAGGCCAGTCACCTGTGCTCACAAAAATGTATACAAAGTGCATTGTAATATTTGACTCATGATATTGTATAACAGCATTGCGTGCCACTGACTACTATTTGTGAATATTTCTTAATTCTAAGTTTTTTTCATAAACCTTCATCATGACCTTGAAAATTTTAGTATTATGAAAATCAATTGTAGAGATTATTGTTCTGATGGGTGTTAGTATTATGAATATTATTCAGAAGGAATCAAAAACTATCCCTAACAGCAGGTGTGTATGAGACAGCTAGGTTGTTAGCACATCAGTGAATCGTGTAGCTGCCTGCTGCAGTAACAGCTGGCTCCACTCCTGCTGCCACGGTATCTCCCACGACAGACACAGGCAGGGGTCATCAGCTGTGTGTATTGTGTACAGAGCTTCAGATAGGATAAATACACAATATACATCACCATTACCCAACCAGGAGATAAACATTCTGTGTTTACAACGTAGGGGAGGCGAAATGGGGTTTAACGTTGCGTCCAAGATTATCGCACTTATATAGCGACATGCATGCACGTGTATGTGTGGCTGCTTGTACTAGTCCGGACTGATGGAACCCGAACCTTCCGTTCTCCGGGCGGACGCTCTACCACTAGACCAAAGAGGGTTTTCAATGCAGAGCTAGGTTACCAATCGTTATTTAAATATGCCTGCCGTCAATGTCCGTAAATGAAGAACTCTTCTAAAAATATTTCCTTCCGTCATGAAGCCATCAAATCGGCTGTTTCAATGAGAGGGGGTTTATTGTGATTTGATAACCAGTAAAACTTATCAAGTATTTTCCAAATTTATGGTAGAATTAGTTTTTGAATTGTTTGTGTACAAAAACTCAAACATTTAAAAAACAACTCTGCATAATTACCCAATGTAACCTTTTCAACTTGCACACCTGTATTCTTTTCAACATTTAGTTACTGATCGAATGCTGGCGTCACATATATGAACTCTACAGCAGTTGATAATAAAGACTGGCTTGTTTGACAACGGTATAAGGATCTATACCGAAACGTCACCTTTACAGTATTAAAGTTGTTATCCATAAATTGTGTCTGCTTTGTCATCCGTCAACTTCTAAGTAATGCCTGTCAAACAATGCAGTTAATAATGTATGAAAAAGGCGCTACATAATTTACTTCCTACTTTTTGCTAATGAGACATGTGTATCGCTGTTGTGAGTTTATGCGACATGTTGCACACTTGGAGAAGTACACACACAGATGCAAATAAGAAGTCATCTTAAACAGTATTTTAAGCGGAATTAAGGAAAATGTTTGCTCGGTGGTGTAAAAATACACAACGGACTGGCCCCAAGAAAGTAAAACTATACTGAATACACAAAGAAATCTAGCAATACCCAATGTGGATGACAGCACGTGGGTAAATACTCAATGGCTGTGTTTTATTTATCTGGAGCCCTGTGGTAATAGGAATATACACTGGAATATATATAGTTTAAATCTTGAAAATTGAAATTACTGTATCCAACATAATAAGCGCTCCGCTCTAATAAGCGCCCACGGCGATATTTGTTAATATATTGGCTAGTGAACAATCCCAATTAGCACCCTTTCCGATTGATCAATGTACACAAGACTTATTTATTCGTGTATAATACCCACTTGTGTGTTTTATGCACCCTTATTTAAGGGAAAATTAAATTCTGGAAAAATACTTTAGTATAAAAAAAACATTTCAGGCTGTCAGCAAAAACCGCGAAATGTATCTTTCAACTCTGTTTTTTTCCCACCAAAATACTATTCTAATAAGAGCCCCCTATTTAAAATTTTGAGAGCGCCCTGGGTGCTTATTACGTCAAATACGGTACTTTTAAAAAAGGAAAATCTCATTTACAATTTGTTTCATCCTGTTGTTTGGTCTTGCTGGGATATTTTGGCAAGCATAGGTACAAGGAATATCAGCTTTCTTTATTTGTAGAAAAGGCTTGTTTATAAAAACCAAAGTATTTAATCAGGTCTCCATGAGGGCTCTGACAGGTACTAGAGTACTTGAGCACACATGTTTAGATCGGTTCAAGTCCGACATCAAGAATTGCAGTACCTTACCAGGGGAGGTAACTCACATCTTCATTTCTCTAACAGATATGGTTGAGAAGTGGTACAGCAGGGTTTTAGTTGACTAACAATAGTAGGGGTCCAGGGATCCTTTATAATTAATTTTAAGGGTCCTTGCAGGCAATATGAGGTCCTATAAAGTAATGTAATGGTGTGTACCATTCATTTTGATATTTATGTTAGAGCCTGGAATGAATCAATGATCATGTGGTCAGTGGTCATGATTGATGGTTGAAATGACACATGCCCATAACTGCTTTTGATGCAGAGTAGGTACAAATAATATTATTGCATGTCCCCTGGGACGAAGTATATTCTTTTTCTGCATCCATTTTCAACTACTGCGCGTACTGAACACACATTTGTGTATCAGGTTTTGTGATGAGACTCCCCACTTCAGAACAGATGAAGATGTCTGCAGATGTCACCTGTTGGGGTGCCAGAGTTGTTTGCATATGCTGCATCCGACTAAAATAAATTGTGACCCGTGAAGATCTGGGGTAGAATAGGTCTTCAGCAACCCATGATTGTCGTAAGAGGCAACTAACGGGATCAGGTGGTCAGGCCTGCTGACTTGGTTGATGCATGTCATTGTATCCCAATTGTGGGGATCGATGCTCATGATGTCAATCACTGATTGTCTGGTCCAGACTCGATTATTTACAGATCACTTTTATACAGCTGGAATATTGCTGAGTGCGGCGTTAAACAACAAACAACAAATAAACAACCAAACAAATAAAATAAATTGCCTAGCTGTTTGTAGCTGAAGCTGTATGTTTGTGTTTCCGTTGTCAGATGCTGAGAATGGTCAGGGCCAGATCCAGAACCGGAACAAGATCACAGCCACCGTGGGATTGGTGGTCCATGCAGCAGGTAACTGAACTCACACACTGAGTTGTTAGGTTTTATCCCCCACCTGGAAGGGGGATACAGGAATGGGTGCTGTCTGTCCAGCCTTCAGCCTGTCCGTCACGTTTCGTTTCCGGAGCAGAATTTAAAAACCATGAGACATATCCTTAACCAAACATGCCATATAGATAGGTCGTGTGATGAACTGCTGCCTTTCTATAGTTTGTGATTTGGGGGAAAAAATATTTTTCTAGTTCCTGTGGCAACGACTTTGACTTTGACTGAAGTGCTCCTTTCCGGAGCAGATCTTGAAAACCGTACAATATTTCTTCACCAAACTTGGTACATAGATAGGTCTGGTGGTAAACTGATGCCTTTTGATAGTTGGGGATTTTTGAAAAATTTATCTTTTGGGTTTCCATAGCAACAACTTTGACTAAAAATTGGAGCAGATCTTGAAAACTATACAAGATATCTTGCCTTGCACACAGCCAGACATGTCATATTGGCAGGGGATATGAGTATTTCATGCTTGTTGTTTTTAACATATTTAATTCACAACAGTGAATTGGATTGGGTGCAAGTTGGATGACAAAGTACTGAATCTTTTGTAAAACAATAAACAGCCATGAATATTCATTGGTTTTCAATCACTGATAATTCTGCATTGCCTTTCAATAATGATATGTGACAGACATTTGTTTACAACTATGTCATTTAAAGTAGTTCATAACTCATTGCATTGGAAGGCATACAGTTTACTTAAAAAACGTAATAACTGAGTTTTCACATGATTCAGAAAAGAACACTTTGAATCGATATTTGTACCCATTCTGTATACATCATAATATACTCATCGGCAAAAGAAACGTGAATACCATACATGTTGGTTAATTTATGAAGAATTACTCATATTCAAGAGATGTTAGTTTGGCTCTTTGCACAAATGAACATACTGGTGTATTATGTGAATTGACGCTCATGAATGCATGACATGTGACGTCACAGGTCCAGATGCACCATTTGTCTTGTGCTGGATTAGCGTGTAAAGTTTGGAAATCACGTGAATATCATGATAAGAATAAGGACACTGTGGTAACACTTGACAGATTTTCAGTGTTGTCATTAATTGGTACACATTGGAAACATCTCTTCTTATTAACGTACATTGTTCTCTGTATGTTTCTATGGTTCACGTTTCTTTTGGCGGTGAGTATATTTGGCTTGTCACATACTGCCTGGGTTGAGAGATACTGTAAATCTTGAAATCAATGCATCTCCAAATGAATGCGACTACTGACCCTTAGCCATAATGCGACTCAATATGATTTAGGGCTGGGACGAATCCAAATTTACTACCCGGGTACCCGACCCCCTATTACCCGACCCAACCCGGGTACCCACTGCAAGTCTCAAGAGTTAGGAACAAAATGTCTGATTGGTAATTGTTTTACCGCAGCCCTGGCTAAAACTGTTTAGATACATGTATCAAACAATCAGATCATGCGTACACTGAAGTTGACTGAAGCTTTATCTTTACTCAAGCATATACAAGTCAAAAGGAATGAGTCCATCGTCAGAAAGAAATGCGAACATTAGCGACTTGTAGTGTAACCACTGAGCTATAGTGAGTTTTTGTCATTAAACAATATATCACGTGACTAACCATGGGTCTGGGTAGTCCTGTGGCTATCCGGGTCCTACTCAGGACCCACCCGACCTGAGTACCCGTGTTACCTGTCCCAGCCCTAATATGACTGCGACCCCTCCCAAACCCCAGTGGAATTATATATAGAGAAAATGGCTTCTGTCAGGTTAATCCAACAATACCTAAATCCAATCAAACAGCAAATAGCACCGCTTATTAGCGTTGAGTAGAGTACTTCCTCTAAAACAATACATCTGTTGTTTCCTAAAAACAACAGATAATTTGTGTGTTTATTCTGTTATCTTGGAATTAAGAAATTTCAAAGGGAAAAAAATAATTGAAGCAAATCAAGTTAAATTTTTCATCTCCAATGTTGGGATAAAAATAACTTGACTAAATATGTAATCAATGCGAGCTAAGACCACTCGCAGTTTTCTCATTTAATCCATGTTGTGTTAATTTCAAGATTTACAGTATTAGAGGTGTACAGTAGGTGTGTATGAGTCGGGGTCTAGATGTAGCATGTGAACGAGTCACAAGGAGGCTGAGATTAACCCAGATTCAGTGCACTTGCCACTGTCACATGTGAGACGATGATGTTTGAACTCTGACCTTCCCAGCTGACGGCGTGGCCCTTGGTGCTGCCATCACTTTGGCCGAAGCTCACATCACCATGATCGTCTTCATCGCCATCATGCTGCACAAGGTGAGAATGCGTTTAGATGCCTGACATCGAAGGCTGCGTATGTTAATTGTTAATATGATCATAGAAATATTTTAGTTAATAATGCTTGTGTTAACAGTGACTGATTTAGAGTTGTGATGGTTGTTGTCATGACATCTGGTGAGGTGAAATGGGGTTTAACATCGCGTCCAAGATTATTGCACTTATATAGCGCATGCACATGTCCGTGCTTGTACTAGTCCGGACTGATGCCGATTTTATAGTGCTAGTCCACTGAGATACCATGCTGTAGTTTAACATGACTCAGACACAGTATACTGACTCTGAGCTGACCAGTCCTTGTTTTAGTCCCTTAATGCCAAGTTCCAGGCAGGGTAACAACAAGTACCATTTTTTAACGTCAATTGGTATGTCGCAGCTGGGGATTGAACCCCGTACCTTCAGTAAATACTGCTGAGGTGTAGGTATCCAGTCAGCTTATCATGTGTAAGCAGTACTATAAGACTTTGATACTCAGAGTCGTCAATCTAGTAATTTAGAAGATAATGTGTTTCTGTTTTTCAGGCTCCAGCTGCATTTGGTCTTGTGTCTTTTCTCCTTCACGAGAACTTTGACCGACCACGCATCCGGCGCCATCTTCTGGCCTTCTCAGTTGCAGCGCCCCTGTTGTCTGTCATAACATTCTTCGGTCTAAGTCAGGTAACAGGAACTGTTATGCTTTGCTGTGCTAGGTCACTGTTATTTAAGAAACTATTGTGATGAAATAGAGTTCAGATTTACCAAAACAGACTTGTTGTTGTCAAACATGTCAATTACCGAAGACAAAAAGCAATTTTTCTGTAATATCTCAAATGCCCACAAAGTAATCCATTCTTAAATGTGTCATTGTTCACCAGTGGTGTGAAATATGTTGATTTCTTTCAAGTTTTATTTACATATTTGCTTAAAGTTACTTCAACAATATGATAATTGATCAATATTTAGTTAGCCATTATCAAGATCGATGATCTATGTCGATATCCATCCCTAGTTCTAAGTCATCACTTTCTTTTTTTCTTTTAGCAAAGTAAAGAGCAGTTGTCTGACATGCACACGACGGGAATCGCCATGCTGTTTAGCGCAGGGACGTTTTTATATGTGGCAACTGTCCACGTGTTGCCGGAAATCCAAACAGAGCATACCCGGACAACTGCCCCCGACGGCACCGTCATCGTCCGGGAACACAAAGGCTTCAGAAAAATCGAGCTATTAGCCCTGGTCGTGGGCTCCTTGATTCCCGTGGCGTTAGCCCTGGGTCATAAACATTGAGGGACACAGGCGGTGTTGAAGGGTACCAAACTTGAAGAGAATAGCACCTCCTTTGTTTTAGTTTTGCTAAGTCATTTGGAGGAGTTAGAATATCTCCTTCTATTTGTGCCACTAAGACCTAGAGAGAGGAAATGAAAATCACTTCCATTGTATAGTCTCGCTAAGTCAACGGAGGAGTTGTTTCATTGTGTTATTCTTACTAAGGCATGGAGAAGATTTTTTTCTGTGAAAGTCATTGGAAAGTCATTGGCTGTGAGAAGGCTATTTCAGGTTAAATGTGGGAAAGGTGGTATCGATGTGCAGAGTTGTGTCCCTTAGACATGCAAGTATCCGCTGATGGTAGTTTGAATCATAGATTCACCTTGATATGAATCCTTGGTATCTTAAGCTCGGGTTTTCTTCGTACATAAAGCGAACATGCTGTTATAGAAATGGTGTTCAGAACAGCATTAAATCCGACACTCTCTCTCACTCATAATGATTTGTTTCCTCAATACATGAAAATAAATGTTCAAATTGTTACCATATTTTCTTGCGTATAGTATATATTTTCCAGCTGTGTGGAGGGGGATGCTTATAATATACACATACATTAAGTTTTTGTATTGTTTTAACAATCGAAGTACCAAGGTTGCAGAAAGCTTCATACGGGTGACTCGTCAAACTGTCCAGACATTAATAATATCTTGAACTATATGATAGTTCGCATGCTTATGGTTATTATTTTAGATATGAATAGTTCAATGCAACTAAACTAACACAGCATAGGAATAATCAATCCTGGGAAGACTACAGTTTTGATTGAGGATTCATATTTTTCAGTTTATCATTGGAGAGGTAGAAAAGAATCTAGTTTTATGAAACATGAATTGGACTGATATCTCCATCTGGGTTATTTAACAGTGGCATAAATGTGGCTTGCCTGATGTAGTGGTAGATCCGGCACCTGGAAACTTACTTGGAATATTATGGTTTCAAGAACCTGAGTTCTCAAACAGAACGTTCTGTGTTTGGTAGAGTCATCATGGTAGAAATAAGGTTTTGAATGATGAAGATTATTGGTCCGGGGCCACACTGCTTCGTCCATCACATCATGGCCCTCAGCGACCTACTATGCTAGCCCCACCTTCACACCTCAACGTGACATCTTCCTGAGTCAAGGGCGTTTACTGACTTTCAGAGTCCAGTTTCCACCCTTGCCGAACTAGGCTGGAATTTCTGGGCTCGATTGTAGCACCACCAGTGACTATTACGAGTTATGTCCCTTCTATGACCAATCAGATTCCACCTCTCATATCACATGCATTTGCTTCAAATAAAATGGCATCGCCCAGTGAAGACGATCTGATCGATAATCAAGATCCATATTCACCTGATGAAGGAGTAACTACCGGTATGTACTCCAAAACATTGTGTTCCTCATAATAAAAAAGTTGACATCCATAAATTCTCTTCCTTTTGAGTATCACTTCTAAATGCATTTCAAAGACAAGATCTATATTGTAATAAAACAGGTCTTACTTCATGAAGTGCATCAAATCACGTGAACACCTTGATTAAGAATGTGAAAGGATTTGGAAAATATCTGTTGATTCTAAGTTGATGGTACACATTCTTTGCAAATCCTCCAGTCGATTGAAATCTGCATAGCAGTTTACGAACCAGATGTTGATTTCTTTACACGATTTTAGTTGGACTGTGCATGGCCTCGTTAGTCCAGCCAAAATACAACAGAATTCCAGCCTAGTCCAGCAAGGATGGAAACTGGACTTTTATAGTCAGTTAACTCCCTTGCCTTTGCAACATGAGGACGACAGGGTTGAGAACATAAGAATTCCCCTCCCCAATGTTCCCCCAGTTGTGAACAGTTGTGTCCGTCTCAACACTGGGGGACTCTGTTAATCCTCACACTACCTCCACTGTCCTCTGAGTTCCCCCATCCAGGCACCTGTGCTCAACTGCATTTATATGAGGTATTTAAAATGTGGGATTCTGTCGACCTGTGGTTGCCAGATTGTTGAGTGTGTCTGAAATGTACAATAATGTTGTCATATGGTGTCATGTCCAACGGACTGGTAGAGATCCGGGATAGAATACGTCTTAAGCAACCCAAGCTGGAGAGATTTTCTTCTTCTGTAGGGGGCACAGGTGGCCCAGTCGTCTAAGGCGCCGCGATTCGCTGTGCAGATTTGCATCCCTTGGGCACGCCAGAAACCTATGATTGTGGGTTCAAATCCCGGTTCACCCCAATTATGTTTCTAGGTTTGTCAGCTCCATACCCGTGCTCAAGGGTTTCACCGAAGTGGTAAACGTCTGAGACCTGCATCACTTCGGGCTTTCCTCCCACATTAAGCTGACACGCCGCGATATGACTTGAATACTGTAAAAAGCAGCATTAAACCCAACTCGCTCACTCACTCTTCTTCTGTAGATGCTTGGTGACATTAAATGAGGTGAGGCAGGGGGTTAGGTAAAGTCCTTTGGTCTGTAACATGACTGAGACCCAGACAGCAGTGAATGCAGTCAATGTCATCAGTCCTGTCACGACCCATGAGGATCCGGTCTTCAGCAACCCATGCTTGCTGTAAAAGGGGGCTATGCTTCTCGTAAGGGGTGACTAACGGGATTGGGTGGTCGGGCTCCCTGACTTGGTTGGTGCATGTCATAGTATCCCAACTACGTGGATCGATGCTGATAATGGCAATCACTGGATTGTCTGGTCAAGACTCGATTATTTACAGACCGCCATCATATAGCTGGAATATTGCTGAGTGCAGCGTTAAACAACAAACAAAAAAATGTCATGTACTTGAGATAATATCATGTCCGGGTGTCGTGACTAATGTCATGTGTGGGGTATCTTGACCGATGTGTTATGTCCAATATAATGTCATGTCCGATAGGTCCCATCAATGTCATTTCCTTGCTTATCATGACTCAGGTGTCATGCCCAAGCTAATTGGTCCAGTCATGTCTGATGTTCATTTTAGATGTTATGTCATGTGTGAGGTGTCAGTGTGGTTGTTAACCGTCTAGCACCTAACAGGCAGTTTGGGTTGTATACTCCCCAGGGAGTGGAGAATGATTCTTAAGTGCACACTGATCCAGTGATCGGGATAATAATATCACTTGGAGCATGTCCCTGAGTGGTGTGGAAATATGTGTAATATAAATGGTCTATTATTATTATTATTAATTTTATTTTTATTTTTTTCAAGGGGACTTCCTTCACAGGATGTTACTCCTGCTCTGACATTATGTGGACCATCAGGTTGTGATGTCTCTAAATTTATATTCTTTCCCTCATGACGTGAGGGGGCACAGGTTGCCCAGTCGTCTAAGGCGCCGCGATTCTCTGTGCAGAGTCGCGTCCCTTGGGCACGCCAGAAACCTATGATTGTGGGTTCGAATCCCGGTTCGCCCCAATTATGTTTCTAGGTTTGTCAGCACCATACCTGCGCTCTCGGGTTTCACCGAAGTGGTAAACGTCTGAGACCTGCATCACTTCAGGCTTTCCTCCCACATTAAGCTGACACGCCGTGATATAACTGGAATACTGTTAAAAGCGGCGTTAAACCCAACTCACTCACTCACTCACTTTATGACGTGAGATGTGGTATTTATAGAAATTCAATGTTTGTAGACATGCCATAGAAAGATCTACTGTAGATACATCTCAGTCCTCCCCCTGGATCTGAACGTTTCAAAAATACCCATCCGTCTTACTGCTTTGTGCCAAGCTCTGTAGCTTGTAGTCATGGTTACCAGGAAATGTACTAGTCATCCCTCATTGATGATGCCTTACAGCTTAAGTGAAACTTGATTCTTGGTAGATATTGGATTCTTGGTAGATATTGGATTCTTGGTAGATATTAATACATATCAAACATTCGACACCCCTATTTCCAGTGCTTTACAGTTCTTGAATATTGGTGTATAGATATTATGTATTTTGTTCAACTGGTTACTACAGATTACTTTTGTTATTGCATTAATTATCGTTGAAGGTTTTGGGGGACATTTGACAATGAAGACAATTGTTTTTCTATTGGTGTTTTGAAATATTTGGTGACGTAACACAAAGTTTGGTCTTGCTATTCTTGATATCCAATCACATGTGAATAACAGTTCCACCTTTGTTGTCAGGAAAATAGCAGCTGTTGTGGTTTGGTTTGTTTCATGTGTTTTAAAACAAAATTAATGGATATTTTTTAGTGGTGGGACGATGCATCGGTGGATTGCGATAGTTTACTTCCTGACACATGTATCGATATTAGTCGCGCTCTAAGTACAAAATATGGATTCATACCTTAAATGTTTACTTGAATGGCTGTTATATCAAACACTAATTAGTAGTGAAAATTAGGGGGCGGTCGGATAGCCTAGTGGTTAAAGCGTTCGATCGTCACACCGAAGACCCGGGTTCGATTCCCGACATGGGTACAATGTGTGAAGCCCATTTCTGGTGTCCCCCGCCGTGATATTGCTGGAATATTGCTAAAAGCGGCGTAAAACCATACTCACTCACTAGTGAAAATTAGTAGTGAAAAAGTAAATATTTTCATCCGTTGCGTTATACTTGACACTGCCAACTGTAAATCGTCAGTGTGCCAGGTATTTGACTATCCTGTCTATGAGGAACATGGCTTACACACCACAGAGCACTTACAAGTATCGTGATACGTATAGTATCGTGAACAAGTTATTGTGATACGTATAGGATCGCACAGTTGGTGTATCGTCCCAGCCCTAATATTTTTGCTACCAAGCTCGGAACTTGTTTGGACGAGGGCAGGGTGTATAATGATGAAGTCATGTTATGCCAAAATTCATCATTTTGAACGATATTATCATGAAATTATGAAGGGTAAACACATCAATGTATGTGCACGTTGCAGTTGTCATTAAGGTAGAAAATGGTATAAGTTTGAACATTACATTAAATATCATGGAACTATTGCTTTCTGAAAAGGTAGTGTACCTTGGTATGTTTATTGGATAGGTTAGATTGGACTATATTGTTAGTTGGCATGTACATAGCCTTTCTGTGTGTACAGTCTTGTACATCATGTTTCCGACACATATAACCAATATATGCAGAAGTGATGAAGAACTATTTTTGGTGAAACAATTTTGTGTGACATTTAGATCTATGGTGTGCCCAGCATCCATCTTGTAGTCTGGTAACTCAAAGTGCCAACAGCTTTTGTTGTGACGTCCATTCAACAACCATCTTCCCGAGGTAAGGGAGTTGACTGACTGTAACAGTTCAATTTCCACCCTTGTTGAAATAGGCTGGAATTTCATGGCTTGATCGTAGCGCCACCGGTGCTATTACTAGTTATGTCCCTTCTATGTTCTTCCTATTGACCAATCAGTTTCCACCTCCCATATCACTTGCATTTGCTTCAAATAAAATGGCGCCCAGTCAAGACAATCTGATCACTAATCAAGATCTATATTGTAATAAAACGGGTCTAACTTGGCGAAGTGCATCAAGTCATGTGAACACCTTGATTAAAAACTTGAAAAGATTTGCAAAATATCTATTGACCCTAAGTTGTCGGTATACATGTTTTGCAAATCCTGCAATCAACCGAAATCTGTGAGGCAGTTTACGAATCGGATGTCGATTTCCTTACGCATAGACTCGTTAGTCCAGCCAACATATAACTACATAGTTTCAGCCTAGTTCGGCAAGGGTGGAAACTGGACTTTTGTTAGTTAACTCCCTTGCCTCAGGAAGATGTTCAACAAGACATCACAATGTCTGTATACACCAACCAGCCAAATTGTACATATTCTTTGCCATCTAATACTTGCCTAACAGATTATCTTACGTACAATGAACAGGAAGATATTTTGGTAAAATATGTGGCGATTTCAAAGTTTGTAAATGCTTGTGATGAGAAAAGTATTAATTAGTGAGCATTACTGCGATAGTCAACTACTATGTCCTCATCTTGATACATCATCATTATTCATTTACCACAACAAAGGCGTTTCACTGATTTATTTCACTTGTGAAATGAGAACAATGTACACTGTATGTTTGGAGCATCATGGAGGCGGTCGGGTAGCCTCGTGGTTAAAGTGTTAGCTCGTCACGCCGAAGACCCGGGTTCGATTCCTGACATGGGTACAATGTGTGAAGCCCATTTCTGGTGTCCCCCGCCGTGATATTGCTGGAATATTGCTAAAAAGCAGCGTAAAACCATACTCACTCACTCACTCACTCACTCCCTCTTTGGGAGACATGTATGGCTGAACGTTATCAAGAAGCTTGTTTTACGGACCATTTTTGATATGCGAAAACAATGATTCTTTTGGTAATCACGTGATGAATCTATTGGTGATCACGTGATGAATCTGTTGTGATCATGTGATGAATCTGTTGGTGATCACGTGATGAATCTGTCGGTGATCACGTGATGGATCTGTTGATCACATGATGAATCTGTTCATGATCACGTGATGAATCTGTTGGTGATCACGTGATGAATCTGTTGGTGATCACTTGATGAATCTGTTGATCATGTGATGAATCTGTTCATGGTCACGTGATGAATCTGTTGGTGATCATATGATGAATCTGTTGTTGATCACATGATGAATTTGTTGGTGATCTGTTTTGAGGGGGTAGGGGTAGATTTTTATTGTTCCCAGAGTCGTGGAGTAATACAGTATTCCGTCAAAACAGATTGCAAAAAATGACACATAACACTCTATAGAATTTAAAGGTTTTGAAACAAACATTGTCACATTTCAAACTGAAAAGGTTGCAACACAATAAGACTCCAACATAGCATGTGTCAACAGAGAGCTAAGAATCGAATGCTGAGAATAAAAGTGACCTTTTTTGGTGAAAATTATTTTTTGTCGTCCTTTTTTATAACAATAAATTTCTCGATTGAATTTATGTTTTTAAGTAGTTTTAAACGTATATCTATGTTCGGTTTGATTCCTATGATTCCACATACATGCCTTTCCCCAATAAAAGTATGTGATTGATAAAGGTATTAGAGTAGTTAGAACCAAAACTAATAAGATATTTTGTCAATTTAATTATTGTGAAAGATAGTTAAGAAGCCAAGGTGATCTGTTGTTGTTCATGTGATGAGACCAATGTTGTTCATATCACAGTGTTCATACCATCATACCATCACACCATCATACCAACATACCATACCATCAGTTGTGTGTACTGTGTTTGTGAAATTACAACCAGTTTGCTTGTATAGGATATCATTACCGGTTTTTCAAAAGCTTTAAAAAGGCCTTTCAGACTTGGTATGATTCATGGCGGGTTAAGGGTCAGCACAGATTTTGCCGCTCCATTCGTTGACATGATATGACATCACATGCTTAAGGACGAAATGGTCTGTCAAACTTGATCTAGATACATGTATGTACCTCATTTATTTATGTCATGGTGCCATCTCGATAATTACACAGGGGCACGGGTGGCCCAGTCGTCTAAGGCGCCGCGTTTCGCTGTGCAGAGTTGTGTCCCTTGGGCACGCCAGAAACAAATGATTGTGGGTTCGAATCCTGGTTCGCCCCGATAATGTTTCTAGGTTTGTCAGCACCATACCCGTGCTCGTGGGTTTCACCGAAGTGGTAAACGTCTGAGACATGCATCACTTCGTGCTTTCCTCCCACATTAAGCTGACACGCCGTGATATAACTGGAATACTGTTAAAAGCGGTGTTAAACCAAACTCACTCACTCACGATAATTACTCAAAGTTTACATTTCTTGATTACCAGCTACAGTAGTTGCTGGAAGAGGATGAGACGAGGATGTGACCTGTGTGGCGTGATTAGAAAAAGTGGGTGATCTCTCGGATTGGAATATTGACTACTGAAGAACCCTTTTATGGGGAAAACTTGTTATGAAATTATTGCAATGACCAAACAGGACAAGACTGTGGTTAAACTGTTAAGTGGATAATTATTATTCTTATTTGCTTGTCTGTGAATCAGATGAAAATGTCACCAAATATCAGCACTGTTGTAACTAGGGCTGTAACGATTCATGATACCTACGATATCATTGGTACTAAGGTACACACGCTACTTGAATGGTCAGTTTGTGAGATCGTCATACACTTAAAATAGAAACTGATAGAGTTACTTCCCGTAGTGGCAGAAGTAGCATAGCGCAGGTTGTAAGCATGGCGGAATACAAGGACGTGGTGATAGAGGACCTGCCTGCTATTAAACTATTACATTTAATAACCATCCCTTCATTTAAAACTGTTTTGTTCTTGGTTTTTTTGTTAACACGTTTTTGATATGATACTAAGTAAATGTTTGAATCCAGAGGTTTTAGAATTATATTTCAGTGATTTTATGATTTTTTCCTATTTGTAGATGTATCATGATACCAGTGCTATCGTCAGTCTGTATTGTGATACGTATTGTATCGCAAGGTGCAATGTGATACGTATTGTATCGCAAGGTGCAATGTGATACGTATTGTATCGCAAGGTGCAATGCGATACTCAGCTCTAGTTGTAACTATCTAACAAATTAAGCCACGTAAGAAAACATGAATTAGGAAAACAATGATACTTAGCTTTCTGGCCATCGCCTCTCATTTTGACGAGCGCAGTAGTTGGGTTGGCTCAGTGTTGGGCTGCTGCCTTGGCGGTGTCCTAGGTTCTATTCCCCTCTAGATATGGTGTCCATTGTCTCTCAAACACACCCTGAAATAGAGCAGGGATGCTCCAACTCTCCCATGTATGACAGACCCAGGAAGACCAGGGGTAGAATAGGTCTTCAGCAACCCATACTTGCCATAAAACCCATGAGGCGAATAAACTTGTCATGAAAGGCAAATAACGGGATCGGGTGGTCAGGTTGACTTGGTTGATACATGTCATCGTATCCCCATTAAGTGGATCGATGCTCATGATGTCAGTCACTGGATTGTCTGGTCCAGACCCAATTATTTACAGACCGCTGTCATATAGCTGGAATATTGCTGATTGTGGTGTTAAGCAACAAACAAACATGTATGATAATGTATAATGTGCTGCTTTCATGTTCTTACATTTCGAGGAGAAGGCTGTTTAAATCATAGCGAGCTGCCAGGGTACTGAATGTGCTGTACATATTTTGCTATGTGTTTTATACATGTTGTCAACCCATGTTAAACATCAACAATATCATTGATAAAAGGATTTCACATTGTTCAAGAGTTATTCCTTCGGTAATCCAAGCTTCATTTTGAATGAAGGAAATTGTTTCACAATAATACTAGAAGGTCATGATACGATACGTATCATGATACATAGGTCACGATGGATATGTATCGTGATACACATATTTTCTGTCAAATCTTGTGGAAACTTCTTAACTTTAATTAGTTTCATAATAATACTATTAGGGGTGAAACGATACAGGAAGGTCACGATACGATACATATCATGATGGATATGTATCAGGATACGCATATTTTCGTCAATCGTCGCACTAAAACTCACGATGCACCGGTGTATCGTTTCACCCCGAAATACTATTATAGTATTTGAAAAGATAGAAGTGGATTTGTTTTTGACAAGTTTCCTTGTGAAAACTGGCGATTGTTGAGTATAGATATTCCCATTCTAACATGCCGAGTCAGCAAGTGTCCACAAGCCCAGTGTTGTGTGGCCCTGAACACCAGCTTGTTGTTTAGTGATCTGATGACAGGAGGCAGGTCAACAGCTGGGATGGAATTTATTGAAGTCAGAGCAGAATTTCTGTCAATGGAAAGAGCTGACAGTTGACTCAGAATTGACACATGGCTACTGATGAGCAATGGGAACTTACATGCAGGATCTTCAGATGGAGCAAGTGCTTCATCTGGGTGATCCACATCTAGCTTTCAAGGTTATGTCTCGCGTGCAAAGAATATATTTTTTCAGGTTTATTTTAGCCCAAATGGTGAATATTTATGATGACATTATCTTCTAGAAACAATTTTGAAATTCAGAATAAATACAAATCTGGGATGTCTCCCATTTGATTTCACTGAATATTTCCTTTGAATAAAATGAGTGATTGCAACGTTTGTGTCTGGCGCATTCAAACCCAAATGGTTTTTTTGTTCAACTTTCTTACAAATATATGCCTTTCTGAATAGCTGTTCCCTTATTTTTATTCATCAGTATATTTCTTTCCAAAGTTTCATCCAATAACATATGAAGTAGAGGTTTTCGCAAAATGAACTTGGCACTGAGACCACCATAAGTCTCTGTTAAGAATTGGCTATGACCATCTTAAGTCTATGTTAAGAATGGGCTACGACCATCTAAAGTCTTTGTCACGAATTGGCTACGACCATCTTAAGTCTCTGTTAAGAATCAGCACTGTGACAGTCATAGCTATAAGATGATTTTGGAATGAGGCCCATTAGTCATTACAATTCATTTTGTGACAGATACGCAGGTATTAGCAGTAGAAACTAACACTATTGTCTCCATAGTCCCACTAACTTATACCAAAACCCTTAAAAAGGGCAAATTCCTACTAGTCCTTTTGATACCTTACTATTGGGCAGTTTGACAAGGATGAAAGGACTAGTCCCAGTGTCTGATACTGGTCATGGTTTCCCAGCAGCATGACATTGCCGTGTGTTTTGTCTATGCCCTGAGATGACATGTGTACAGGTGTGTAATATTCATGTGCTTCACCTCCCCATATTGTACAAAGCACTTGTTGAAGGAAGCAAACACAGTCATCAAAAAGGAATTTGATTTTTGTGTATGTGTTCTATTTTAATTTTGATCCAATTTAGGATTATGATACAAGATGAAGCCTATGTTCTTTAATATTTGCAAAATATTTTTAGAATTCTAATAATTTAATAAAATTGTAGTGTTTATTCTCTCATGTGCAAGTAGCCAAGACCTTAGGTTGTCTGCAGAATTATTGGAAACAAACAAGAGAAATCTGTATATGAATTATAAGGTTTTTATTCAACAATGTACTGACAATAAAGACATGGCTTTAAGGGAGGATTTCTATGTAATGTTGAATTAACTTCTTATATTGAGAATTTTTGTTCTGAATTTTGTAAAGTAGCTGGCGTTGGTGGTGTTTGTAGATTATTTCCCATTTGTACATATTTTGGGGAGTACATGTAAAACAATCTGTTGTATGCATAAGTAATCAACTTATTTAAACATACCTTGTAAATAAACTTTTTTTTACAAATATAGAGTTGTATTTTGTAAAGATTTTAGATTTGATTTCTTTTGATGGCATTCGAGATACTAAGAATGGGTCACCAGGTATGCCAGGGTTGAAATGACGTGGGCCTCTGATTGTCACCTGGCTGATTGTGTGACATCAAGGTTAAAGTGGCCTTAGATGGGCCTCTGATTATCACCTGGCTGATTGTGTGACATCAAGGTTAAAGTGGCCTTAGATAGGCCTCTGATTGTCACCTGGCTGATTGTGTGACATCAAGGTTAAAGTGGCCTTAGATGGGGCTCTGATTGTCACCTGGCTGATTGTGTGACATCAAGGTTAAAGTGGCCTAAGATGGGCCTCTGATTGTCACCTGGCTGATTGTGTGACATCAAGGTTAAAGTGGCCTTAGATGGGGCTCTGATTGTCACCTGGCTGATTGTGTGACATCAAGGTTAAAGTGGCCTAAGATGGGCCTCTGATTGTCACCTGGCTGATTGTGTGACATCAAGGTTAAAGTGGCCTTAGATGGGCCTCTGATTGTCACCTGGCTGATTGTGTGACATCAAGGTTAAAGTGGCCTTAGATGGGCCTCTGATTGTCACCTGGCTGATTGTGTGACATCAAGGTTAAAGTGGCCTAAGATGGGGCTCTGATTGTCACCTGGCTGATTGTGTGACATCAAGGTTAAAGTGGCCTAAGATGGGGCTCTGATTGTCACCTGGCTGATTGTGTGACATCAAGGTTAAAGTGGCCTTAGATGGGCCTCTGATTGTAACCTGGCTGATTGTGTGACATCAAGGTTAAAGTGGCCTAAGATGGGGCTCTGATTGTCACCTGGCTGATTGTGTGACATCAAGGTTAAAGTGGCCTAAGATGGGGCTCTGATTGTCACCTGGCTGATTGTGTGACATCAAGGTTAAAGTGGCCTTAGATGGGCCTCTGATTGTAACCTGGCTGATTGTGTGACATCAAGGTTAAAGTGGCCTAAGATGGGCCTCTGATTGTCACCTGGCTGATTGTGCGACATCAAGGTTAAAGTGGCCTTAGATGGGCCTCTGATTGTCACCTGGCTGATTGTGTGACATCAAGGTTAAAGTGGCCTAAGATGGGCCTCTGATTGTCACCTGGCTGATTGTGTGACATCAAGGTTAAAGTGGCCTAAGATGGGCCTCTGATTGTCACCTGGCTGATTGTGTGACATCAAGGTTAAAGTGGCCTTAGATGGGCCTCTGATTGTCACCTGGCTGATTGTGTGACATCAAGGTTAAAGTGGCCTTAGATGGGGCTTCTTATTGTCACCTGGCTGATTGTGTGACATCAAGGTTAAAGTGGCCTAAGATGGGCCTCTGATTGTCACCTGGCTGATTGTGTGACATCAAGGTTAAAGTGGCCTTAGATGGGCCTCTGATTGTAACCTGGCTGATTGTGTGACATCAAGGTTAAAGTGGCCTTAGATGGGGCTCTGATTGTCACCTGGCTGATTGTGTGACATCAAGGTTAAAGTGGCCTTAGATGGGGCTTCTGATTGTCACCTGGCTGATTGTGTGACATCAAGGTTAAAGCGTTTACCCGTGAAGAGATAATTTAAACCATGTCAGACAGTCAGTCACCCAAGTCACAAATCTGATCCCTACACCAGGCTACTATGTATTCATCATTTGATAATGCAATAGTCATCGACCGCACTAGTATATGTACAGAGATCTGATGCGTAAGCCAGCAGGAGTTATCTCCCCCTACCGGAAAGGCCGCCATTCCATTTCCGGGAGGGCGTGCGCATGCTTTCAAGAGGGCGCCACAACCGGTTCTGGGGAGGAGGAGGACATAAGAAGCGCTCGTAAACTTTAATCTTTTTTAAAAAAATGATCAGAAGCGCACGGGTTTTGTTTTTTTGTAGTTGAAGAAGACTTCCCTTTGAAAACATCTACAAATCGGGCGCCAGTATCGTTGAAGATGCTGAACAGAGACTCGTCGACCCTGACCAGGCTGGTGGACGCCAAATTACTACAAAAATCGTTCTTATCATTATTAAAAATAGAGGTGCCGTTTTCGCCCGACACGTAGTAGCCGTTTTCGCCAAATGCGGTGCCGTTTTCGCCAGAGAAATCGGTGACGTTTTGCTGAGGTGCCGTTTTAGCCTGCACCCAGTTGGATCCACTCCCTCGCCTATAAAAAAAAGAAGAGCGAAGCCACTGCGCACGTTTAATCTCCTATATCAGTCAGTCAGTCAGTCACTGCATTCTATGAGATCAACATGGAAAACAGCACAGAGAATTGGGATGTGGACTTGGAACTCACGAAGACAGAAGCATTGCCATCGCCTCCATGGCTATGTAGCATGTGCCAAGGCCGTCTTCCAGTCTACGCTCTTGGCACTAAGGCACGTGATGGGACGTTTCAGTGCGTCTATTGTAACACCGTCCTGAAGGACACTTACGTGAGGCGTTTAACCGACACCAGTAAGTGTCCTGTCAGAAGACAGATGACAGTCCATCCATGCCTTTGTAGCACAGCGGGCGGTCGGGTAGCCTAGTGGTTAAAGCGTTCGCTCGTCACGCCGAAGACCCGGGTTCGATTCCAAACATGGGTACAATGTGTGAAGCCCATTTCTGGTGACCCCCGCCGTGATATTGCTGGAATACTGCTAAAAGCGGCGTAAAACCATACTCACTCACTCACTTGTAGCACAGCGCCTATGTGGGTGAGGAGGTAATCTTCAAGATCAAACAGCCCTTTTCAGGGCCACCCCACTCTCCCGAAGGAACGCTTTCATCATTGCTTTGCGACCTGTGAAGATTCCGGGGTAGAATAGGTCCCCATACTTGCCGTAAAAGGCGACTATGCTTGTCGTAAAAGGCGACTAACGGGATCGAGTGGTCAGGCTCGCTGACTTGGTTGATACATGTCATCGATCCCAATTGCGTGGATCGATGCTCATGATATCAATCACTGATTTGTCTGGTCCAGACTCTATTATTTTACAGACTGCTGTCATATAGCTGGAATATTGCTGAGTGCAGCGTTAAACAACAAACCAACCAACCAACCAATCATTGCTTTGCCTACCAACCACAACAACAAAAACTCCTCCCTCCACCACCTCCTTTTTTTTCGCTTTTTTTAAAATGAGGAAAGTGGAGGATTTTACGTGCGCTTCTGTTCATTTGTTTCCCTGCTCTGCATTAGGGGGATAGAACAACGACTGGTCGGCGCGGAGTCAGTATAATGTGTGAATCATGTTAAACTGTGGCATGGTATCTCAGTCGGCTAGCACTATGAAACTGGCATTAGTCCGGACTAGTACAACAGGCCTATCAAAGAAAACAAACAGAGCTAACAAGCTATGGAAAATGAACACACTTTTAAAAACGACAGCCGAACAATTTACAAAGAAAGACACAACCCCCATAAAGTTTGTTTCGTAATGCTTACAACCAGGCACATTTTCAATGGAACCAAACCGTGGGAATCACGCAGCGTATAACCATTCTGGGTTTGTTTTTTGTTTTTGTTTTTTGTTTGTTTTTTTAAGATGCGCGTACACACGAACACGTACACACACACACACACACACACACACACACACACACACACACGTCGCTATTTAAGTGCTGTAACACTGAACGCGACATTAAACCCCATTGTGCCTCTTCTCGCCTCGCATGTAAAAGTCGAGACATTACGTAGAGGGGAATGTCCGAGCAACTCTCCATTCCTTAAAAATAATGGAGCAGAGGCCCATTATTTTTAAGGAATGGAGAGTTACGAGGATATTCCCCAACTTAAAACTCATCCCTACTTTTACGCTTCAAGATAATGTACAGTTGACAAGCAACTCTCCATTCCTGAAAAATAATGGAGCGTTCAAACTATAGAATAGTCTGTCTTACAGACCCTGATACAAACATATATCAAATACAGCCCATGCAAGTCTATAATGTTTGGCAAGTCTAGATTACCGCAGTGTCTGAAAATGAAGAGAGTCACTGGGCTCCCTTTTATTATATTTTTATTACGATAACTGAACAACTGTTTTTTCTGTACGAGATGTTCATTTCAGAGACTAGATGTTAGTCTAACTATAGAATGACGTCACCGATGTGTTTTAATGTTGAATGAGTTCCAAGGGGCATAACTCATCTCCACCTAATGACCAACGTTTTGAAGCGGACGTAAAATACATCCAATTGATGTAAACTGCAGATAACGGACCCATCTCGAACCTGTTCTCTGATCCATCTAAACGATATTTCACTCATAAAACTTTGTGGATGTACTGCTGCTAGTATATGAGGGAGAGAGTGTAAGATCTGTAAAGTCTTGTCGTTTTATTTAATACGCTCTCCAATATACCCTAGCAGGTGTACATGTACAAAGTTTTATGAATGAAATATCGATGAGTTGTATATATTCCTGAGTTGTTTTGTCTTTGACGTAATGGGCGATCGAACCCAAATTTCGCAGATTGGTGTTCTCTGTAGCGGCCATATGTGTGTCGACTTAATCAAATCAAATTAATCAACTTTGGGCGCCATGACGTAGATGACAGAATAAGCCCCAGTACCACTTACTCACTCACGCACTCACTCACTCACTCACCAAGCCACTCACTCACCCACTCACCAAACCACTCACGCACTCACTCACACACTCACCAAACCACTCACTCACTCACCAAGCCACTCACCAAGCCACTCACTCACTCATCAAACCACTCACTCACTCACCGGCCCTCCCTACCACTTACATCCTCGCTCACTCACTCACTCACCAAACTACTCTCACTCACTCAATCACTCACCGGCCCTCCCTACCACTCACTCACTCACTCACTCACCAAACCACTCACTCAAGCGCTCACTCACTCACTCACTCACCAAACCACTCACTCACGCGCTCACTCACTCACTATCTCACTCACCAAACCACTCACGCGCTCAAGCACTCACTCACTAACCCACTCACTCACTCACTCACCGGCCCTCCCTACCACTCACATCCTCGCTCGCTCACTCACTCAC